GTTCTCTCCTTTCACACTGGACATAAGTGGAACCGATGTAAAATTCATCTGTGCTTGTGATCACTAGACAGCGGATTTTACACAAATGCCTATTTTTTCCTTTAGCATATACAGTAGATCCCCCTATAAAAGCGTTTCCTATAGTTATGATTCCTATAAAAATTGTGGCAGTATCCGTAAACAACGGTAAAAATAACTCCTATAATACGTAAAACGTCATCGGGCAGCCGAACTCCTTTCCCGCCGTCCGTAGCGCCACGCTACGGACGTTTAGGCGGATAAATTGAGTTTAGTATCGTCTGTTCATATAATTATATATAAATTAGGTACTGTACATATAATTATATATTAATTATATATAAATTAGGTACTGTATATATAATTATATATTAACTTAATTTATTGTAACTTTATTATAATTAAATATATATTTTTCGCCGTCTAGCGTCACGCTACGGCGAGTTAGGCGACCTATCGTCTGTCCAGTACTGTAATTTTATACATTTCTTGTGAAAGAAACATTTCTTATTTAACGGCCATAAAAATTATTTATATTAAGGATGTCTCCAAAGGTCAACGAAGTTTTCGCAGAAAAATAATATCAGAAATCGCGGCCGCGGTTTGATGCGCTGTTCCGCGACGAAACCAAGCTTTAGCAACGGGCGTAGTCGAACGGTACACACTCGGTAAGCAATCCTACAATTTTTTGTTTATAACGTAGTTTATACGGATTATTTTCAAAAAAATATACGTATTTTGGAAATGTTGAGTCGAATTAGTCTTGAATCGATTAATTTTATGAAAGAAAACCTTTCAAACAGCCGTAGTCCGTAAACTATGATTCCTACAAAATTGATTCATAAAGAACGGAACGTATCTACCGTCTTATAGGGGGATCTACTGTACATGGCTAAGATTTTGTATTAACACTTATCATGAACATTTAGATCGAAATAATGGTATTTTATAATGCCTAAAAATGCCTATTATGACGTTTCTGCCTATTTTTGCCTAAAACACAAATGTGGGTTTTTCCGACCTTTACTCGCTTGGCCGTGCGCAAAGATTGACGCTCTCGATCACCACCCTCGCGTGTCCTTAGGACCTCGGGCTTTTATAACATTTTTTCCCCGAAATCACGAGGTTTTCGTTGGTCCGAACGGTGGTCCCCTGTAATTTCACTGGTCCCTGGTCAGTTGCCAGGGACGCGATTCGGGCCGCGGGGTCGCCGAACATTCCCGTCTGGGCTGTTCCCTTCCGGAGTCGGGTCAAGCCCTTCTCCGGATGACAGAACCGTAAATTTTACGTAATGTGCATTTTTTCTGTTCCGGAGAAGACGCAGCTGTCCCAGCCGCCGCCCCTTCCACAGGAGTGTCAGAAGGTCCCGCTTTGAACTCTCTGTAAAGTGACCGTCCAAAGTTACCCCGGCGGACGATCCCTCTCTCGTTCTAGGATCTGTCAATTCGGTTTGGAATGCGACAATTAAATCGTCTCGCACCCCGTTTCTTGGTCACACCGGTCTTGTTTACGAAATAAGTCACCAATTTATTGGCTTTAGCTCGACAGCCAGCCCCCGTCCGGGGGGGGTGATGTCCAGGCCTCACACAAAGTTTAGTGTTTTAATACTTTTAAAAAGTTTTTTGAATTTTTTTGTTTCGTTTTCTACAAAGGTTAATTTTGATTCTTAAATTAAACTGCTTAAGTTTCGTTTTTTTTTTTCTGAAAATGCAATCAAACCAACCCTTATTATTATTATTGATTATTTATATTCAAGTCCCAGTGAATGCATATCCCAAGCAGAAGAAATTGGAATGCAATTGAGAGTCCAGATAAATTCCGATCTCCCCAACGCAATTTTATAGTAATAAAATTAAAACTATATGAAATATTTTAAGACAAATGCTTTTATTTAATACATTTTTGTATATTAATAAATTTTTAATTTTAATNTAATATAGTTTCGTGTTTGGTTTTTAGGAATTGCAAAAAAAAAATTTAAGATTTTGATTATTATTTTATTAATTCTCATTATGCATTTAAAGAGCATGAGTATCTGAAATTTGAAAAGATATAATCATTACATAAGTAAGAAATTTGAGTAATTTTTTTTTCTAACATAAATACATGTTAAAATATTTAAGTATTCATTCTTTCATAGATTTTGCACAAATGTGTATAATTTGTAAAATACATTCAGTTTTAAATTGGTCTATAATATACAGTACAAATAAAGAATTTATAAAAGTAAAAAAAATACAATTAATCCAGAAATTTTTGTTTTCATTGTCAATATTTGTATTTTATAAAAATTCATTTAAAAGGTTATCATACTGTTATTTCAAAAGAAAAATACACTTGATCAAATATTTGTTAACTGTTTATTTGGAGTTTATATCATTAATATTCCAGTTTCCAAGTACTTACAGATTTTCATGACTCATTTTCAGGAACATCATTCTAATAGTAAATATTAAACACTACCTAATAGTCAAGAATTACCCTTCCAGTTTAACACAAAACAAATCTTCACACACATTCTTCTGTATTCAGTTCAAATCACCCTTTCTTAAAACTTCTCATTTTTCATACAATAGTTGCAATTGCTATAAAAAAAAAAACAGGGTGACCCCTGATACTGAAAAAAACATCTCTGTCTGAATACTCTTGATCTAAATTTTACTTGATTGCAACTGCAATATTACAAAGTGTGTGCACATTGATGCAACTTTGCCTGCTTTACTGAGCACCTATCCAAGTATATACTTATCTTAATATTGCATACTTGTTCAGTCATGAAAATGAGTTTCCTGAACTAACATTACTGTGACACTTAAAGTTAAGCATCAAAACTCATCCTTAGTTCCTCATATAAATTATATCTTTCTCAAGCATTTTTCTTTAACCTTCCTCACTGTAATTTTGGTCATTGGCCTAGTTTGGAGACATAATGCAAATTTTCCTCTTATGACCATGGAATCTTTTATTAAACTTGAATATCCGTTATGAATAGCTATGTACACCAACTCTGACAAAATCTAAAGTCTTTTCACTGTTGATGTTTGGAAGATTAATTGAACTCTTTTTGCTGAAAAAAAAAGATCCTTAAGTAAAGAAAGACCAGTGGATGAACAAACCTTAAGATATTTCAGAGTATAGAAGCTGAAAATCTAGCTTCATTAACCAAGCAAGATCTAAATTTCAGGGGTTTGCAGGAATTCTTCATATTTCTGAGAAATTCTCCATGCTGATCTGTATCATTATGTTGTAAATTGATTATTCCCATTGGGATCTGTAAAGTAGATCACAAGTGGAAGTAATCATACACAATCAAATATATTAGAATTTAAAAATTTTATTGCTGTATTATTATATTAGGGGCTGAGTCCCTAGTATAACATCAATTTGCGTATTTAAACTTTAAAACATTTTGCAACTGAAATGCTATTTTAGGCGGACAAAATTATAAATGAGATAACTTCTAATAATCTAATATCAACTAAAATTTGTTCTCAGAATATTCTAATTTTTTCTGGATCCTTCACATTCTCAATGTAAGGGCAAGTGTTAATGAACTAGTCTAAAAAATAAAAGTACAAAAATTGGTAATAACTATAACAGAAAGAAATTATTTCTTGAGACTATACATACAATACGAGTCAATTTCTTTCGGTCCCTTTGCATGCTGTTGAGGTAATAACAATTCTATGGCGGAGTTTAGAGTCAACCTTTTATTGTAGGCTACTCGTCTGCCATACGATGCAAAAAAGTTAAAATAGTCCTCTAGCGGTGGCACAAAGATAAAATTAATAAGTACGTTTTAAGTCTCCTTTTCATTGTAAAACATGAGTTAGTTTTATGGTAAACTTATTATAAAATTGAAGTTATAAAATAAAAAAAATTATTTTTGTTAATCTCTTCTAGTCTTTTCTCTCCACATAATATCTACCTTCTAAATGCATTTATTTCATCTACAATGATGTTCATTTTTTTAGTTCTTAATAGTATGTTTGATTTTTCTTTAATTTTGTGTAGTTGATCAATGAATTGTCTTAGGGGTTGCATTTCTGCTGCTTCAATTGTTTTCAAAACATCGCTAGACCCGATACATAATATAGGTAAACACCAACCATTTAGTAATTTGCCTTAAACTAGCCCAATAGAATTTCGGCATTTGGTTCAATTGTTTTCTTTGTTTTTTTCCTTGCAAGTCCATTACTAGTAGTTTGGCTGTTATCTGTATATAATTTAAGCAAACAGACACAATGCACTTGGTATTAGAGAGGTTGAGGCGCACGTTTTAAACGTGTAAACGTGTACGTGTGACATTCGGTGCCACTTTCCCGTAAGCCTAAAAGTTTGACAATGGTGTTTGGATAGTCGGTGGAATCACGCTCGACATTTCAAACACCATCGTCAAACTTTTAGGCTTACGGGAAAGCGGCGCCGAACGTCACACGTACACGTTTACACGTTTAAAACGTGCGCCTCAACCTCTCTATTATATACCATCAATACTCGTAAGCTGTCTTATTTATTTAAAATCTTTATTCCTATCTAAACTTAGGTACTCCAAATATATAAACTCTTATTTGCTTAATTGTTTGGATAATTATTACTAATTTACACCTTTTCAATTCCTTGCTTCTGAATGCCATACAGTTGATTTTATTGATTGATATTTTCATATGAAAAACTTGAACATTTTTCAATTTTGTTTATTTAAGTTTCTAGTCGGTAGTATAATCTATTATAAAGCCTTCCTATTATATTTGAAACTAGATGAAAATACTCCTTCAGTAACAGCATTTATTTGAACATTTATCATTGATTTCCATTAGATTTTGTTATGATCTTCAATTTGAAAGTTGATATTGAGAGAAAACAAAGAACTGGAATTTACATTTTTGAACTAAAATATTAGAGATTAGTTTATTGATGTTATTTTTTAGAAAAATTGTCAAGAAAAATAAACTGATCAAAATATACTTTGTTAATTTCAGATTAGAACGTGAAAAATTGGAAAGAGAAAGGATTGAGATATTGAGATTAGAACGAGTGAAACAGAGGCTGGAACGTGAGAAGATAGAAAAGGAGAGGGAAGCTCTTCGTCGTCAGAGAGAACTCTCGTAAGAATATCTTTTGTATTCCTACAACAGAATCATTTCGATATTTTTTCCAAACTAAATTTTTCTTTTAAATTTCTTAGTGCTTTGGATGATACGCGCTCCATGAAGCGTGGATATGATCACGTTTCGAGGAACACTTCGGATGATCAATTTTGGGATGACAGAAAAAGACCCCGATATGAAACTTCTTCCTTTGCTATGGACAACAGGTAAAATTGACATGGAATGTCCAATTAACTAAAACTTTAACATAGAAATTTACCCTTGATTTCTTTTATTTAGAAATGATTTTGAAAAGAGAGAGAGGCCTATGTTTGAACACAGTGCTTTGTACGAAAGAAGAAATGATCGGTTTGAACCACATAAGACAGATACCAGCCCTCCCAAGACTGATTTCAATGTTATGCGCTATGAGTCCAGAGATCACGATGACAGAAATGACAGATTTCAGAACAACAGCAGAAACGATTTCTCATCTCGGGAACACCGAAATTCGGGACCTTCCAATAGAGATAGAGATACATCATCGGGACGCCGGGGTATGGTGCACGATGAGTGGAGATCGAGATCACGCGAGCGGGTAAATCAAAGGGGCCACGACAACCGCTTCTCAGACAATGGCAACAAAAACATGATGAACGAGATGAACACTTTCAACACGGTGGGAAGATCATTTGAGAGAGGAGACATGTGGGTTTCTGGACAGAATGACAGGAACATGGGAAAATCATACGGGATGGACAATATGAACAAATCTTACAACATGGAAAACTCGGGCATGGGCAACGACGGATCCGATTGGAATTCGGACAACAGAAACAAGATGGACAACTCGCGAATGAGTTGGGGAAGAGGGAACGAAACCGTAGGAGATAGGTGGTCCAGTATGGGTTCTAACGATAACAGAAACCAGAGAATGGGAATGGGGATGAACAACCAGCAGATGATGACCCAGCAGCCCCAGTCCAATATGTACAACACAGGATCGTCCGCTGCTAACACTGGAGGAGGGGGCATGAACATGATGCATTCGAATCTGGGAAACAACTACGGAACCGACAGATACCTCTCTTCCATGAGACGATATTGAAAACCCATTTAGTTGGCACGGAAAAATGCGTCCGTACCGATTTTCGCGAGTCGCGAATTACGTTTCATTACACTTTGTTCACTTCGTATCCTGGAATATAGGCTTTCGTATGGAATACGAGAGAGCAACAAAAATTTGTGGCATAACCAGAGAAAGGAGACACCTATTAGAAAACACTCGATACCGAATGTGTTCGACCCAAAGATTCGTCTAGCGACGTGTTCGGAAAACGTATTTTAAAAACTTGTAAACGGAGTTCTTTCTAGGTTACTTTCCTCCCGCTACTATTGTTAAACGTGACAGAAGCACACCTTCACGCACGAATGCGGAGCAGTCGAATTTTTTAAATGTGAACATTCAACGTCGAATAAACCTGTCCCGTTCTTCGGGATATTTACGAAACAACTTTTGTTAGCCTGTGTTTTTCTTTCGGTAAACACTATCTTATACGAATATTTTAGCTGAGGTGTGGTTGTTTCAATTTTTTTATGTCTGTTTAGAATATACTGTATACACAATGTAAGTGTTAATACATCACAGCTAGATGCATGTTATGGTCGTTGATGTCGTCTTCGCATTTTGCGAGTTTTACAGAAATGGTGATAAAAATTTTAAATTGTCGACAGAAGTGGCGCGTGTGAAATCCGTGTATGTCGGATACATACATACATACAATTACACAAATGACTAGACATACTGATTTTAGAGATTGTGTTGTGATTTCGAATATAATATGCATTGAATTTTAAAGTTACACTGATTAAAATAAAAATGTTGAGTAGTTCCTCCTAGTAAACATTATGTCCCCTCCACCTACGATTGGCTGTGAGCGAGGAGGGTTTTTCATTGCCCCTTTCTGCGTTCTCTCTACCACAGTTTCCATTCGAAATTAATATTAAGAAAAAATTAGTTATCGTTGCGTATGTCGTATTCGTAGTCGATTTTTATGCTATTTAATAAAGTATCATTAACATCAGAGTAACTTATTCGGAATATCAGCATCACGTCTAAAGGCTTAAGTAGATATTTTAACTTGAAATACTTTTGAAATTTTAGACCAGTGTTTTTCAACCTGTGGGTCGCGGGTAGAAGAAAAAGACAAGTGTTTGTAGGTCCTACACTACATTAAAAAAACTACAATTTCAGCGAGAATTACGGCCCACCCCAGAAAATGACAGCGGAAAAAGTGTTGAGCTGATATGCAAAAGGAAATAAAAAGCAGAAAAGTAGAAGCTGAAAATTCAGATCCTAAAAAACAAAAAAAAAAGTCAACAGTTCCTAATGTTACACACATCCAGGAAAATATCCGCTATTCGAAAAAATTTCCATTTTTTAATCCCCACATATAAGAATTGCCTGTATTTGAAATTAGTCTCGAGATCATTATCCTTTATTCTATAGAAACGTATCTTACAAGATCGTACTTTATGCTGTACTGTACGAGTATATGACAAAGCTCGGAATTGGGCAATACTTGGAAGAAACTCAAGAGCGAGAAACGAACATAATAGACAGTTTAGAGAACTATCGAGGAAAACAAAAAGAGATACAAATGAGAACTTGCTGGACAGACTTATGTGAGATGCTCGCAAACTGGCTATAAATGTGAGGTGATGAGAAGTCATCACCTCACATTTATAGCCAGTTTGCGAGCATTTCACATAAGTAAACATTTAAAAAATGAATCCTAAAATGTCAAATTTATTACAGAATGAAAAAAAAATTATCAGAATAAGAGAGTTATGTGTCGACTCATTAGATGAATGTAGTGTCGTCAGTGTTTCTGATTAAATGTTTTCCCATTCTGCTTTACACTTAAGATCCTCTTATCCCCTCACCCGGCAGAATTTTCTGCCGGCTGAGAGTTTACGGTGTGGAAAAAATGTCGTTTATTGCCTACGCCTTACCGATGACCCACTCTCTCCTCCATTCGACCTGACAAAAAGAATCCTGACCCTTCAGGATAGTAAATGTAAACAAGCAATCCACTGACAAGTGGGCAGTTTGCACCAAACTGTTGTCGAGGAAAGGAGGTACGACCTCGTCATACCTCCGGCGTCCAACATTAGTTTTTGTACTAATTAAGCTCTTATATGTTTTGCTTGGTTCATTGCACCTTCAAGGTGCCTGACAGATGTCCACAAGATACAACCTATGTAACAGACTGAAGAGGGGCGAAAGCCCGAAACGCATATCTATATGGATTAAAAATTGTTGGTATTATTTGCCAAGTGTCAATAAATTCACCAAGTCGTGACATTGAACCAAGCAAAACAAGAAGACACGGCTTCGACAAATAAATAAAACACTTATATGTTTGTTATTGACAGCTTTCTGTTATTTTTCATATATTTATTCAACTTTATTAATTACTTTACAAAATATAATAGTGACAAATATTGTAAACAGAAGCACGCGGTTTTGCAGTACGTGACAGGTCATGTGACCGCAGAAACTACTGGTGACGCCATTCTATTTCCTGTGACTTTCCTATGACGTAATATCAAAAAAATATAAATAATTTTAAATGTTTCCCCGAAGATATAAAATCTTTTATCAAATATAAAAGATACACATTTCATAAAATTTTATTTTAAACAATCTAGCAGAGTTGTTCATAAGAAAACAGCTCTCGGAATTTATGATAAAGTTATAAATAATTTTAAATGTTTCTACGAAGATATAAAATCTTTTATCAAATATAAAAGATACACATTTCATAAAATTTTATTTTAAACAATCTAGCAGAGTTGATTAACTTTCCTGGCAACATTTGGTGGCGCCATCTGTTATCATATTTTATTTTTAAAATCTTTATATTTTTAACTATTATAAAATGAGAAAAAACTTAATTTTGAGGATAAGGATGGGTTTTGTAAAAAAAATTGTAAATGCTAATAACGAGTAAAATCGTTATTAAATCAGATCCGACTGGAGATGCACACGATCCCCTTTATCTCTCCATACCCTCGATCTTTAACCATTAAACTTTAATAACATCAATTTCTCTATTAAACAAACCACCCTGCAAAATTTCAGGAATTTTTGACAAAAAGTACAAGAGCTATTAAGCTACAAAGAGTGTGAACAAAATCGTGCCCCTCACACACACATCCATACATACAGAAATTTCCTCCGATTTTTTTTTTTTTTGCATTTCTCGACGTTTCAAAGGTGTCCTGAGTTTAAAAATGTAAAAATCTTGTGGATCATTTTCCCCTCTGTTATATATGACAGCCGGGAAAGTAAAAATAAACATTTTCATTAAAATATTAAATACGCAGTTAAAATGAATGGCGATTGGATAAAGAAATAGATGGAGATAAATTAATTTCCGCCTCTTGTTATTTCTTTAACCAATCCTCGATCTAATTGCCAGCACGTGTTAAAATCTTTTAGAAATGTATCATTCATATTCAATGATGAACTTCCTAAGTTTACAGGAAAATTTTAATCTGTTTAACTTCCTTTAAAATAGATAAACATCATTACATTCATTTATAATATTTACTGCATTAAATATGCCATTAATGAGTTTATTTTTAAGTTATAAAAAAATGAAAATTTAATATTGAAAAACATTTCTTTATTCTTCGTATTTGAGTGTCTGAAGTACTGTACTGTACAGTACATTATAAACAATATTATTTATTATAAATTTAAAAAATATATAACAATCATAAGCTATATTTAGAAATTCTTATTTTCTTAAGTAAGAGAATTTGTTGAGATTTAAAAAGAATTAACTTTTTATTTTAATGAAATATTGATTTTTGTTTTTTTAGATCCATCTGCGCACATGCCTAAAACGCATGATGCTAGTATTTTACCTCCTACTTCTTGTAGGAGGTTCTCTTTCACAAGACAGAAATTCTCTTGACGGATCCAGAAATATAACGAGTAAAACAATAAATAAACGTAAGTTCATGGGGAAAACATCAATATAAAGCTAAATTATCATTTAATAAAAATTTAAAATAAATTAAATAATGTTTTTCAGGCTCGATCTTCACTATAAATATTAGTCCAACGTTCGAGCAAGAAGAACCTCATAATAACTATGGTGGCTTGATGACATTTATGAAGCCATCCAGGCAAAGCAACGTTTTTACGTATTGTTCTAGTGGTTCTAAATGTCAATTTTTTCTTTATTGCTATTTATCGGGTGGTACTTTAGGTTCTTCTTGTGGACCATTATTTTCTTGTTGTGTCAAGAAAAAACCACAACCAAAAATCAAAAGAGTTAACTATGGTCCTGTGCGCAACGATCCATGTAAGTATATATATATATATATTTGTTCATTTTTACCTTATAAATATTTATATTTATGAATATATGATAAAGTTAATATTTGAAATTTCTTACTTTTTTTTTTATAAAATAAAGGGCTATGTTAAGATATTTTATAGAGATATAACACTATCTTGAACGTGTACAAGATACATTGAATATTCATTTTCGTGCAGATTGCGGAAGAAATTCTGTGAAAACCAGCAGAATTGTTGGTGGAAATGATGCCTCGTTTGGCCAGTTTCCATGGCAAGTATGTAGATAAAAATCAAATAATAATTATAAAGAAATTTTTATTTATAGTATTAAAAAATCATATATAAATTAGTTCCAGAAATTCCCAAAAAGTTCATAATATTAGTCTTAAAAAAAGCAATGAATTTTAATAAAATTATTAATATTAACTATTGATATAAGTTAAAAATTTATTTTATCATTAATTAAAATTATAAGCACAATTTATAATTTATAAAATTAAATATTCTTTAAGCGTTTTGTATCGTATTTAATAGGAAATAATAATTTCCGATTATTTCTAATAAATATTTCCTGCAAACTTCCTAGTTTCATGTAAATGAAAGCTGTCCTTATTAATTTATGGTGTTAAATCATGTACAGAATGGCGAATGAAGTATATTATTAATGATAATATGAGATAAAATGGGTTATATTTGGATTTACGATGCAAAAAAAAAAAAATTACTTTTTTCGAACGTTATTGGTGTATTTATGTTCATGTTATTGTGAATTTTCGCTTTTTCGAATTTTTACAAATTCAGAAATTCAAAAATAACTTAAAAATATATTGTAGATTTTTCAATTTTATCCAATTTTATATTCCACTGTTAGAATTTATATTAAAAATTTTAAACACACACATACACATATATATAATATAAGTTTATTGCGTATAGGAGAACTTATAAAAAGTTTCTTTCATTTTTTTTTATACAATTTTTATCTTGGTATTTGTTAAATATTTTGTTAGTGTGAATTTCTATATCAAGAAATAAGAGAAATAAGCTATATTTTCTAAATTTAAAATGTTAAAGTTAAAAAATTAATAGAAGAATAAAAAAAAATATATATATATACATTTATTTATTNATAATATCAGAAATCGCGGCCGCAATTTGATGCGCTGTTCCGCGACGAAACCAAGCTTTAGCAACGAGCGTAGTCAAAGGGTACACACTCGGTAAGTAATCCTACAATTTTTTGTTTATAACGTAGTTTATACGGATTATTTTTAAAAAAATATACGTATTTTGGAAATGTTGAGTCGAATTAGTCTTGAATCGATTAATTTTATGAAAGAAAACCTTTCAAACAGCCGTAGTCCGTAAACTATGATTCCTACAAAATTGATTCATAAAGAACGGAACGTATCTACCGTCTTATAGGGGGATCTACTGTACATGGCTAAGATTTTGTATTAACACTTATCATGAACATTTAGATCGAAATAATGGTATTTTATAATGCCTAAAAATGCCTATTATGACGTTTCTGCCTATTTTTGCCTAAAACACAAATGTGGGTTTTTCCGACCTTTACTCGCTTGGCCGTGCGCAAAGATTGACGCTCTCGATCACCACCCTCGCGTGTCCTTAGGACCTCGGGCTTTTATAACATTTTTTCCCCGAAATCACGAGGTTTTCGTTGGTCCGAACGGTGGTCCCCTGTAATTTCACTGGTCCCTGGTCAGTTGCCAGGGACGCGATTCGGGCCGCGGGGTCGCCGAACATTCCCGTCTGGGCTGTTCCCTTCCGGAGTCGGGTCAAGCCCTTCTCCGGATGACAGAACCGTAAATTTTACGTAATGTGCATTTTTTCTGTTCCGGAGAAGACGCAGCTGTCCCAGCCGCCGCCCCTTCCACAGGAGTGTCAGAAGGTCCCGCTTTGAACTCTCTGTAAAGTGACCGTCCAAAGTTACCCCGGCGGACGATCCCTCTCTCGTTCTAGGATCTGTCAATTCGGTTTGGAATGCGACAATTAAATCGTCTCGCACCCCGTTTCTTGGTCACACCGGTCTTGTTTACGAAATAAGTCACCAATTTATTGGCTTTAGCTCGACAGCCAGCCCCCGTCCGGGGGGGGTGATGTCCAGGCCTCACACAAAGTTTAGTGTTTTAATACTTTTAAAAAGTTTTTTGAATTTTTTTGTTTCGTTTTCTACAAAGGTTAATTTTGATTCTTAAATTAAACTGCTTAAGTTTCGTTTTTTTTTTCTGAAAATGCAATCAAACCAACCCTTATTATTATTATTGATTATTTATATTCAAGTCCCAGTGAATGCATATCCCAAGCAGAAGAAATTGGAATGCAATTGAGAGTCCAGATAAATTCCGATCTCCCCAACGCAATTTTATAGTAATAAAATTAAAACTATATGAAATATTTTAAGACAAATGCTTTTATTTAATACATTTTTGTATATTAATAAATTTTTAATTTTAATACTGTAATTTTTTTAAAAAATCAAAAAATTTAATAAATTTTTGTATATTGATTTTACTTAGAATTAAATCTATGAAGATTCTTTAGATGAAAATATGTTTTTGTAATTGAAAAATTATAATTTATTTTTATCAAAAAATATCTGAAAATTTACTAATTGTATGCAAGTAATTTATAGTTTAACAAAATTTTATTTTTGCTAGCTTTTGTATAAATTTAAAATATTCTGAAGATAAGCTTTTGCTTCTTGAATGCATTTAATAAATTAAACGTTATTATTAACACCATTAGGAGTGAAAACATTGAATTAAATACATAATATTTCATTTATAGAAAAAAAAACGACAAAGGAAACGCATACTGGTTGATTTTGACCCTAGAATAAGCCAAATCTTTAAAATCATAGCCAAGAAGATCAAAGCCGATCTAACATATAGACGTAACCTTTCGATATATAAACTTCTTGCTAACAACAAGGATAAATGCAGCGAAGCCAGACAACCTGGAGTATATACTCTGTACCGCTAGACGACGACAATTTAATTTGAACAAAAAATTAACATACATAGACTCAACCAACAGATCGATAACAAAAAGGATAGCGGAACATAAGTATGATACGCAGAATAAAAAGTTTAATACCACCCTAGCCTAAGGTGACCAGATTTTAACATTGGTAAAGAGGGACAAAATTCACGGGGAGGGGGAGGGGGAGGGGGAAGGGCAGGGTTGTCTTGTTAAAAAAATTGTTCTAGAGCAACAAAATTTTATCATAAAAAAAGGCATAAATTGTATTGTATTTTTTAAAATTTCAACATATGTAAAATTTACAAATCTAATAAATATATATACTATTATAAACTCTTTATTCTTTTACATATTTCTTATTTGAGTGAAGTTTTTTAAATAAATTGCTGCTGTTGTTTAAAATGTCATAAAATTTTTTGCAAGAATTTGTTAAATTATACTTTACACATAATATTGCTTTTATAGTCTCAACACTTAATTGTGATTTGTCGGATGTCCACACTTTATTCACGGTAGAAGAAACGCGTTCAGTGGGGCATTTGTTCCTGGTAAGAACAGTGTGTATTCCTCAATTTTTAATGCGTTATTGTATGGAACATAGCTTGTTTCAAAATGATGAAATATTTCTAGCCATTTGTTCTGTGTTGAGATTTTTGCTGATGTCCAAAATTTAATCTTTTCCTTATCAATATATTTTTTAAAATAATGATAGTTCATTAAAAAGATCATTTTCGTAAATATTGCTATCTGGAAAATGTTGACTAATGTGATCGAATGATTTTTGCACATCTTCTCAATTAAGTTCTTGTTTTAACATGATCCAATGAAAATGTTCAATATCATTGTAATGTCCCAGCAAAGAATGCCCGTTGTTAACACACAGCCCTCAGGGTCACATTTCTTTCTTTTGTTCTAAAGAGATTAGTCACCACCATCCAAGTAGGAAGGGCTGGGAAGGAAATTTCTACAAAGGACAAACAATAGACGAAAGAAAGAAAAATATACAAAAAATGAGAACAAAATATATATCTAATATGGCGTACAGCCACAATACGAAACGATCTTTACCGAATCTTAAACACAAGACGCAAGTTTATGACATATAATTGACAAAAATTTAATCCTTTCAAATCCTCATTACCTCAAAAATTACCTCATATTTATTCTACTGAGGTTACAATTATATTATATTTTATTCAGGATATGGCAAGACTTAAATCATTCAAAAGTATACAAAAATATTTGAATTTTATTGTTTTCTAAAAATAAAGAAATCATTTGCATTAAATTAGATAGGTATCAAATCATTCCAGCAACAAAGTTTATCGCTATATAAATGTTCCGTTTATTGTTAGTGTGGCTTGGTTAAGCCTTGTTTTTCTTTTTATTTCTCTTCCACCAATTTTTCTGTTTTAAACTTCACTTCCGGCTTTTGTTCCCTTGACTTCACCGTAATTGGTTGACCCAATGGTCTGATGTGTCTCTCGAGAAAAAAGGTTGACACCGGATTGGTGGAAGGGTACTGGCAAAAGGGCGTGAGATTCGAATCCGAGAAAATCGTCACTTTTTGGAGAGAAGAGCTGGGAAGAAGAAGGCTAGATGTTAGCGAGTACGGAAAGAAAACCCCTCTGGAATAACGGACTCGAGGTTTATATTTTTGCCCTCTGACTCTTTTCTTTTTCTATCCACCATCAAAATCTTCTAATTCTTATCAACCCCATCTTGATCTAGGGCCCTTTAATTTGTAAATTTAGTTAAGTTATAGTTAAGCTAGACAAATTAGAATAAGTCCTTTGTTTGTCGGCACGTGGGAATCATTTCTGGAGCTAAGAATTTTATTTTCAATAGAATATAGCTATTATTATTATTAACTAAGTAAACACATGCAACCACAAATCAAACTCTATAAAGTTAATCAAAGTACTCTTTAAAAGATTCTAGTCCAAACTTCTGGCTTTAATTACATAATTTAATGCAAATGATTTTTCTTTAAAAAAATGAACTAGAAATTATAGTAATTGACTAGGAAAGATAAAAATTTTAATTAATGACTGCTATCTTAACTATTTTTTGGAAAATGTTCTTAATTTGATATTTAAGTACAGATGTTATCTTTAAGTTTTCCATATGAATTATATTGAATAGAAATTAAAAATTAATGATTGGACTTCAAAATTAATTTAAAACATTGATTTATTATTAAGTTTGTTAACATAATTGGTAAATTTGATTTAGTAAAAAAGTAAAATTTCAGATTGAACTGTCAAAAAAATTTTTTTCATAGAATTATAGCTTTTAATGATAAATTTTATGTACAACAAACGTAAAAAATTGTAATTAATTTAAACTAAGTAATTATATAGTAATATTATATACAATATAATATTAATTATATTGTACAAACATTCTGTACTCCATTTTTAATATTAACAGTTAGAAAAGTAAGAAAATATGTTTCTAAAAATGCCTTCAAAAGCAGACAAAATAATTAACCAAATTTTAAAATTTTGATTCAATCTAGATTTCAATATTTCTTATTCTAATAAAAGTTATTAATTTCTCTTTTATCTCATTCTCAACGTTAATGATAAATTGAAAAATGAAAATGATATCAGTAAGATGCAATATTTGAAACTGTTTAGAAGCAAAATCTCAGTTGTGTTTAAAACAGAATTAGTGTGCAGGATTAATATATGTAAAAATGTTAATATGTATGTTCTATAATTAAAAGTTTCTAATTCTCTAAGTTAATAAGAGCAGAAAATCATGTTTTAAATATCAAATCCTCAAACTTATATTCCTAGTATTTTTTTTTTATTTAACTTGTAATAATTTGATTTTCTGTTTGATATATTTTAAGATATTCAAACGAGATCCTGGCTCTCATCTCCATTGATGATACCATGGAAAAATGTTAAATTCACTGCTGATGTTATCTATGGCAACAACAACGTACAAGCTGATTCACTTATGTGGAATATCTTCGTATAAAATGAAAACATAAGCATGAAACATAAATGGAGCGATTTTTTTTTTCATGATGAAGGAGCTGATGAAGGTAAGTTTTACATTAAAAGTTATCCAAATGTGACTCTGCAATCATAAGGTTATGGAACACAAAGTAATTGTTCAATCCCAATTAAATCATTCTGTGCAAAAATATATACACGAAAGATGTATTCCAGTAAGATGACTGACTATTAACTATTACAATGAGTCCTGGACTAAATACAATATAAAGTAATAATTACAAATTCACAGTTTTATTAATTAATAAAATAATTTAATCTAATAATCATCATTATTTTACATATATTAATTTCTATTATTTTTTTAGATCTTTAATAATTTGATTTAAAAAAGTTTATTTTATACATTTGATTCAACATAAGATTGTTTAATGCTATTCTATAGTCTTGATTCGTACATATAATTTCTTTAATTCCATATTTTTGACGGTATTTTTCTAAATTCTTAGTCTGTTAGTAAATGAATCAAGGAGTAATCACCAGAGTTGCAGTTGTAAAAGGGGAATAAGAAATGTAGACAAAGGGCCGTAAAACCGAAAACAAGAAAGGCGGGAAGAGGGACAGAGAGAGTAGGTCGGGACACGGTAGAGAGAGGAAGGGTGAACTGGTGGTCCACGAAAGTCACAACGTTGAGTTTCAATTTTTCTTCTGTTTAAAATGTGTAAGTACCTTTTTTTCATGTTTTAAATTAAATTGTGGCTTTTCTTAACTATCTATTTACTTGATAAGTGAGCGTTCTCGGCAACAGAGTGTTTTTAATTTTCTAGGAAAATTAATTCAATATTTATTGTCGCATTTCCTTTGCATTTTAGTATACCCATGAACTTGAGTAGGGCAAGTTAGGCAACCTAAAGTTATTGGTGTTATTTATATTAATAATAATCGACGTCATTGAAATATTAATTAATATATCCATAAAAATGATTTTCGAAAACAATGAATAAATTATTGCTTTAAGTAATCTTTATAACGGCATGCCCTAAAAATCGTATCAATATTTACATTTTTTTATTTTATTATATAATATAATTAATATTATTGATCGAAGACTTAGAAATCGTTTAATTAAATTAACTTTGTGCATGTGAACGATGACGCGGGCGACTCGGTGCGATTTTACATGAGCAGGTTTTTTTGTTTTTGTGTTTTTCTATGGATTTCAGAAATTGTAAATCGTTTACGTAGACTTATTTCGCACGAGGATTATGAGATCGACGTTTATTTGGTATTATCTTAATGCATTCCGATCGCTTAATTGCCCTTTCTTTTTCCTTTACTGGGATCGAGTGGATTAAACCTAAGTGGTATTAAAGGTGCCAATGTGGTCGCTCTCGCTCGTTTAAGTCGCTTTCGTTTCGAAGAATAACTGGTAAAAAGGGGCGGGAACCCCCAATTGTAGACCCCCGTGCGAGGGAAAAATTTTGGTATAGCACACAGGTGTCGCGTGACCGGAAATGACGTTTCCCCCTCACCCGGTCCCAGAAAGACATTTTTTAGTATCAAACAGCTTATCCACTAAATTCCGAATTGAGAAAACGTAAAGTTAGGGAACTTAAAACTCGATTAACAAATCAACAAAATGTTTTAAAAAGCCAAAGTCACAAGCAGTAACTACTGCATAATTCAAAGTAAGCTACCTCTTAGCAAAAAAATGTAAACCATTTTCCGACGGTAAATTTCTAAAGGAAATTTTTTTGGAAATGTCAGATTCACTTTTTAACGATTTTATGATCAAGAATGAAATTATTTCTGCAATTCAAGATCTACAACTGTCTCGAAACACCGTGATGCGACAAATTGAGATGAGTGGAAATGTAAAAGAACAATTACATAACGATATTAATAGATGTTTTCCATTCAATGTGATGAATCGACAGATATAAGTGATACAGCACAATTATTTGTTTTCATTCGTATGGTTTTTAAGAATTTTACAGGAATTGTTGGGTATGATTTCTTTGAAAGAAAGGACTAGAGGTATAGATATATTCAAAGCCTTTAAAAACTTGCTCAATGATTTGAAAGTACCACTTTTTAAATTAGTTTAAATAACAACGGATGGCGCAGCTGCAATGATAGGTCGCAGAAATGGATTTATAGCCCTATGTCAAAATGAAGATGAATTCCCTGCCTTTTTGAGCTACCACTGCACAATTCACCAGCAAGTGTTAGCTTAAAACAAAAGAGGTAATGGACATAGCATTTAAAATTGTTAATTCAATTCTAGGAAGTTCCTTCAAATGGCGTCTCTTCCAACTGCAGCTCGATGAAGGCCAATCTGAATTATTACTACATACCGATGTAAGATGGCTAGGTAGAGGTAAATTTCTGCAACGATTTCGTGATTTATTGCCTGAAATAATAGATTTTCTTTACGAGCAAGATGGAAAATGTGAAAATTTAAATGATGAAACTTGGCTTAGTGACTTAGCATTTCTTACCGATTTTACTTCAAAATTAAGTCATTTAAATTTTACAATTACAAGGTAAACAGTAATTGATATGATCAGCTGCATAGATGCATATAAAACAAAATTTATTTTGCTAATAGAAGATCTGCAACAAAATAATCTGTATCAATTTATGTTGTTTAATGAAATAAATAAGAATTATCATAATTTGGATGTTTGAACAGCTCTCAAATTCAAAATTAACTTAGTTCACTAAACAGTTTATGTTGAAAAGCATTTCAATTATAATAAAATTTATCAACTTTATATAACATTGATATTTAATCTTATATTTGTTAATAAAGAAACTTTGATATGTAATTTGACTTACAATATCTGTTTTAAATACATTTGTTACTATCCATTTTTTTAGAAAGCATAGAATATTTCAGAAAAAAATCATTCTATTAAAATTCGAGTTAACAAATATAAATGATTGTGAAAGTTACCAATTTTAAGTATTTCTACAACTCAGTATAATTGAAACTTGCAATTTTACAATTAAAAATACAGTTTTATTTTTAATGGCTACAGTTGATTAATAAATAGCTAATTAAAAAATCTGATAAATGAATATATAAAAATGCATTTATGCATAAAAATTTAATTATAAAGAATAAGTTATGTTCCATTAAAATTAATTTTATAATTAAACGTAAATCTAAAATCTGTATTAAAATGAAAATCATTTAACATGTTTTCAATATGATTCAAATTAATTCTAAGTTTATTCTATACGTACACTCACTATTAACAATATGAATTTACCACATTTTCCATAATAATATGCAAGGGTGAAAACTAGAAAACCTCAAAATTAAAATTGTTTCCATCTCATTTTTAAAATAAAATTTTTATACGCATAGGAATTGTATATAAAGAATAATATAGATAAATATTTCATTAAATATGATGAAAAACTAATAATTTATCTTTTATTATAAAATATTACTATATATTAATTTTAAAATATTTATAAAATTTTAAATAAAAAATTCCTAATCAAATAAACTTTAAAATAGATAATTTAAGTCAAGTAAACAAGTCATTTAAATATTTCATATCATATCCAAATAATGAAAAACTAATGCATAATGGAATAAATATGGCTTTAAATATTTTTTTCATTGTGAAGAAGCAGATTCAGGACAAATTTTATGTTGATTTCTTATGTGATGAAATTTAATTATTTTATGGTTTCAGTTAAATTTATCAATTTTTGAAATTATTATAAAGCCTTACTGCTTTAATAATTAAACTAATAATGCAGTTTTAATGTAATGAATAACTATATTAATAAAGAAATACTGGAAAATTTAGATTTTGTAAATTTTTAAAAATGATTAACAAGACAGACAACATCGTGGTCCTTGAGGATTTCAATAGTATTGTTTGTGTAAATAAGCCTTGATACCAACTTTTATTGAGAAAGGGAAAAAACATTCTGCTCAAACATTTTCAAAAAATTTAAGTTTATACCACAACTTATTTACACAATTATTATTATTGAAATCCTCAAGGATCATGTCACAACTTCCTATTGTAAAATAAATATATTTGTTAGCTAGATTTTTATAAATTTATCAAAATATTCACAGATTAATAAAATATCTATATTTTTATAATTATTAAACTTTTGTACCAAGTTTAATAATTAGTATACTTATAGTCCATAAATAATCCAGTTTTAAGTTTACAAGAGGGCAACTTAAGCATTGTTTTTAAGGCCAAATCATGCAATCTAATTAATATTTATCACAGTTATAGCTCACAAATAATCAGTTTTAGATCTTTTTCTAACTGAACATTGGGATATAGTTTATATTTGTATATGTTATTAAACAGCTAAATAAACCATTAAATATTTCATGTATTTATACAGTATAAATTGATATAGTTTGCATTTAGCATTTTTAAAGCTTAATAGCATTTCTGTTTAGAAAAGACATTTATCAGTTTAATTTCCAGTTTACATTCAGAAATGTAATAATAAATTTAAAAAACATATTTATTGGTAAAAAATTGCAGTTAATTACTTTAAATTGTATGAATTACAAACAAAACTCTAGTCTTACTTTTTCTTTCTATCAGAAGTAAGTAATCAATAAATTTGTATTCTTATTATACAAGACTACACCATAAAATAAATCTAATGTACAATATGCAATAGCCCAATCTGTAGTGTCATCAAGCAAAGTTAATTAGAAAAGAATCTATTAATAAAATGGAAATACTGTTCTATTTTATGGTGTATAAAATAAAGAATATAAAGCTTATGAACAATATATTTGTGCTATATTTATGTAAGTATAATGAATAAATTATTTAAATTATATTCTACTATTCTTTAGTCACTTATTTGTATTATATATGAAACAGATTATTGTTTAATTTTAATTAGATCCATTCCTGTTTATATTCCAACTAAACTGTTCAATTATTACTAAATTTTATTTAAATAAATATGACTGAAACAAATATAAAAATATGATTTTAATAGTTTGTCTTAATTTATTAAAATTATCTTAAGTAAAAATTAAATGAATTAATAATAAAATAATTGAGCATATTATTGAATTTTAAAAATTAAACATTTAATAAATAGATTATACCACCATTAAAACTGCTATTTTTATCAAATAAAAATTAGAACTGTCCCATCTCTAATCTTAAAATTATTGTTTTTTTCAGTATTTAGAAATAATAAATATTCATTCCTCAAGATAAAAGAAAACAATTTACAAATATATAGATATTTTTATGACAGTATCTATACATTTATTTTAAATTGAAAGCTTGGCTTTATATTATTCAAGTACACTTTCAAAAAGATAACTGTATATATTAAATGACTGAATACAAAATTAAAATTTTATTTATTCATTCATTACTAAATACATTTTTTAAATATATATTAAACATACTAAAAAAGACAATGTAAAACAGGTAATGAGTAATAACCAAATTTTTGATTTGTTGGCTTCAAAATAATAAACACGATTTATAAATTATCTATGAAATATTGTTTCACTACATATTCTGAAGATAACATGTGATAAACTTTCTATTGCTATAATTACATTTGACATCTAAATTTTGAGAATATTCTTGTTATATATCTGACTTTTTTTTTTCATATTAAAAAAATAGTAACTATAGATTTTAAAAAATTGCAAAATCTGATCTTCATTACTATTTATATTATAGTTAGTAATATGGATACAAATTTTATTAATTAATAAATTATAGTTAATTATATAGTGCATAACAAAATTTGGTTTATTTTTCCTTAAAAATTTTATTCGGAAATTTCTATTAATTTTTATTATTACATTTGAATTATAAACAGTAAATATTTTAACTAAAGTATAAAATGAAAAATTTAAAAAATTATATATATAAATGATCTAAATAGGCTTTAATTTTGTACTGATTTCAATTAACTGACAAATGAATTTTATTAACAAATCATTTGTAATTTCAACTTTTGAGTTTAATGGTGAATTGTGAAATTGATGGGAAATTTCTTCAACACAGTTTCTATATAAGAAATTGAGAAATTACATTTATTTTATAATATTTCTCTTTTAAAAACTGAAGTATTTTTTTATAATCTAAACAAGAAACTACTACAAAACCATTTTATTGACCAAAAAAAAACCTTCCTTATTTTATGTTTTAATGTTCATTTTAGCTATTATGAATATTTATGTAGGTGTATAGTAGTCAATATATAGTCAATCAATGAGAAGGCTTTTACTATTGTTGTTGTTATATATTATTATATTTAATAAAACTGAACTTATATTTGAATATATAAAGTTCAGTTTTATTAGAATAATAGCTATGATTACCATTCTAAACTGCATATTTTCTCTGCAGTTATATTTGAGGACAGTTATTTCCTTTGCACATACCTGATTATAAATGAACATCAAACAGATATTTAAAATATTTATGAGTTTCATTTTTGAAAGAAATTGTACTTAAAATTATAACCAGTTTCTTTATAATATGCATTACTTTCTATATATCAGCAATATGAAAATAATACACCTACTGTGTACAGTTTACATAGTTCATTTTCTATTAAAGTTTGTTTGTTAAATGAATATAGTATCTACCTACTGTAGTTTTTGGTATTTATTAATTTTATACTGTTTCTTTAAGTTTTCAGAAAGCCTTGACTAGTAGATACAGCTACTATTCAAGGGCAGTTATTATTCAAATGAAACCAGTAATTTTTTTAATAAAAAATTAAAAACAAATTAACTCCATTGTCTAAGAAATGGCAAAGTTTAGCAGCACACTGAAGAAAATTATTTATTTTTTTATGCTCCATTAAAACATTTATCCTATTAATATATTTTTTTGAAACTGAATCTCTTATTTATTGAAGACAATGATAGTCCTTCAAATGTAAAAGCTAAAAAAACATCTCAAAAACTTTGAAAGAAGAAACTTCCTAACAACATGTAGACAACCAAATATTACTGATTATTTTCTGTTTTTGAGAAAGCATACTATCTTTAAAGTAATTTTCTTCATTATGCTGTGGATGTCATTGTTTTCATGATAACAGAACTACTTTATTTGATTGCATTACTGAAGATGCTCAAATGTAAAAAAGTTATTTACTTTAAACATTTCTTCAATTACTACTACTGTTATTTTCAACAATACATTTTTTTGTTTAAAATTAAAGTATCAAAGGAATTTTTATTTTAATTAAATTCATAAAATGATTAATACGAGTAATTTTCAATTTCATAATTTAAGTAAAACGTATAACCAACTTTTCTGATTTGGTCTTTCAAAAGTTCATAAATCATATTTCCTTCAAAAATTTTAGTCTAGATGCAGATGGTTTTGCTTTGTCAAATATTTTAATAATTCATTATAATTAGTTTTGTTTATTAATTTAGAAGTGTCTAGAAGAAAACATCAATCTAAATTTTGGATTTAAATGAATTGTATAATTCATAAATTATAGGATTTATTGTCTAAACATATATAAAACTGTTGTATTTTTAAAAAATTATAAAAGTACTGCATCATTTTATGCTATTTTTCTTTTAGCTTGTCAATACTTAAATATTTTTGTGATTAAATTAGTCCATTAGTAATTTTCAAAATTACTACTGAATACTTTTAATCATAAAAAAATTTTTTTTAAGTATTGATAAGCTAAAAATCACAATTATAAAATAAGTTTTTACAAATTTTTGGAAAAAAAAACAAATTATACTGTAAAAAGTCGAGTTTTTAATTTCAACATTAAAATAAAAAATGGTAAAAAGTATTTAAATATTAACTGCTTATTTGTTTTTTACATTTACATTTAATTTAAAAACTAAAATATTTTTAAATTAACAGTAAAAACTAAAAATTTTTAATGCAGATTTTAAAATAACTTTGTTATCATTTAAAATTCTTAAAAATCTGATTAAAAAAATTTACCAAAATGACTTTGGTATGCAAGTTTATAACCTAAAATTTTAATTTTGTCAGTCAAGTTAACCTTTTGAAGTGCACAGTTTATGTTCAAGATTTTCTTTAAAATTATCTATATTTATTTAATAAATTTCAATTTATAAAATTATTTATATAATCATTTTATAGTAATTGCATTTTGTAAGATATATGCACAAAAGATGTCACATTATGTACTGGAGTCAAACAAAGCACTCCATCTTTGCAACATGAATTTTATTAACAAAATTGAATTTTTTTTGTATATAAGTCTACTAACTTTCAACAACATATTTTAAAACTGTACAATGTTTATATAATACTTCTGATAATCAACTGTTTTATGCATGCTGATCTTTAATATTCATCACATTTTCATTCTTAAGATGGATGTTTACCTAAACAAAAAAAATTATATATTAACACAAATCATAGAGAAACAGTGGAAACTCATTGTAATAAGATTCTTTACCTAAATATTTATCTTTATAAATTTAAAATTACTATCAGATAAGCCATAATATTTAAAGAAATTTTAATTTGTGGTTCACAAGACAATTTCCTCTTTATACATAGAATTACTTGTACAATAGAATCCTGCAAAGTGGCCTTAATGTGAACTAAGATGATAACTTACTGGAAGTGACAAGTTTTATGAATTCATGTGTTAACAACTAAAGTAAGAGAACCAAGACTGTGTTGACAGATCAAATTTGATCATCTATTCATTGATGCAAGCATCTTGCCAACCATAATAAAATTCTGCTAAATTAATAAATTTATTTAATGTACAGCAGCACAGCAATGATGCTAGTGTAAATAGCAAAATTTTCATAAAGGTATTTTATGTGCAAATTCATATGCTATATTTATGAACTAAGTACCATTAGTGACTATTTCTATTTGTAGCTAAATTTTAATGTAAAAAAATATATTGGCTATTCAGTGGCTACTTTCAAGTTAGTGACATCATGGTGTTTAGCAGTGGCATCTTGGAAAAAGGATTACAGTGGTGCCTTGTATAACGTACGCCTCGAATAATGGACGCTGCGAATAACGGACTTTCTGTTTGTCCATTATGTGACTTGAGCAACGGACTTGCTGCGAACAACGGACTTTCCGTTCGGCAGTTACGTGAGACGAACAATGGACTTTCTTCGAACAAGTGCGAATGATGTTTCCACTCTTTTGCCGTTGCCAATGACAATCTGCTATTTTTAGGATATATTAGTATTATTAGAATGTATTATTAGTATATCTGAAGTAGAAATGTAATGTAATATATGTTGATGATTTAAATAAACATTAAATGTAATGTAATATATGTTGACGATTCAAATAAACGAAATGTAATTGTGTAGATGCCGAGGTGGCGGGACGAAAAGAGGTTGTAAAAAACAAACGGAGCGAGAGTAGCTCGTAGAAGTGTTTAGTGATCTTAATTAATAAAGAATTATTCGTATCATATAATCTGGCAAGTTAAGTCATTTATAATGCATCATGGCTTCTAAAAAAACAGAAAGGTGATTTCAATTGAAACAAAGCAAGAAATCATCAGGAGTGAAAGTTGACAAAAACTTTCTTGTCGAATGGGGAGAGGTTCAGGAGTTTACCAACACTCATTATCCAAACAGAGCTGAGGCCAACAGGATCAATGATCTCTACGATGACACCTTTGTCCGTCATTTCCGACAGGTGTTAAAGAAGAAAGAGAAACAGACCACCTTGGTCATGTTTTTCAAGAAGCCAGCGGGCAAAAAACAAAGGATGGAACAAGAGAAGTTGACCCTGCAAGTTCCGGTAGCCTCTCCTGAATCTGACTCCGATTAAAAAACAATAAAAAAAGACCCGCTGCAATGTGTAAAAAGTCTGTATCTGTATGAATGTGTAAAGAAAGTGTTCTTCCACCTCCTCCTCACAACATCTGACTACCCGGCATAATTGGTGTCTGCTCCATTTTCATATTTTATGGTACAGTACAGTTATTTTATGCTGCGGAACGAATTATATGTTTTAACATGTATTTCTATGGGAAAATGCGTTTTGTATAACGGACGTTTCACTTAACGGACGTGCACCTGGAACGGATTAAGTACGTTGTACGAGGCACCACTGTATATTCTTTGTTAACAACTGGAATTGATGCTATTACCAAATGTCACCAGTAAAGAATGATAACTTATTTGATCCTACAGTTAAGTTATAGATGTAAAAATCAGACTGTATGTATTTTGTTTTAAACAACACAACAAATTTTACAGAATTTTAAGTTAAAGAATTGAGTTTCCAGGACTACCATATTTACATTATTAAATCTAATAAATTTTATTTTAAAATGTTGGGTAATATAACAATTTCCATAAAAACAGAGTTTAATGTTCAATTTTATACCATATACAGTAAAACCTCTTTAAAACAAACACTTTTAAAACTTAGGAGAAATCTTATTAAAGGGGACAACAAAAATATAATTGATAGAGTATTGTATATGTACCATGTACAGTATAGGAATAGTTTCAAAGTTCTCAGCCTAACAGAGAATGGTGTTGGTAATATTAAATGGCAAGGTTATTTCTCATGTATGATCTGAAGGCATACTGTGAAATTTCAAACACATGCATTTAAAAGTTTGTTTGTTATGGTTGAGTAAAGAAACAAAGTTTTGGTATTTTCAAAAAAAAAAAAAAAAAATGAATTTTGTGCTGTGATAAAATACTTTGTTTTACAAGATTTAATCCTTTTATATCCTTTTCATGATTTATATACAAGATGCCTTTTTATATCTGTTGGCATTAAGCCAACAAATAAAGGAGTTGAATTCCACTTTAAAAGATTATTCACCATTGTTTTCTACAGTGAAGAAACATACTGCTGAATTTAAACTTGATCATCCTTCCATTTCTGATGATAAACATTCAAGATGCCAAAAACTGAAATGACTGAGTAAATCATTGCAAAAATCCACAATTCTGTATTAAATGATTGACAAGTGAAAGTATGCAAGCTTGTTGATATTGCAAAGATCCCAATAGATCATGTTTACATCTTATATGAACATTTGCATATGAAAAAGCTCTTAGTGCAATGGATGTCATGCTATTCAAATGAACATTTCTCAGAAGTATTTGGACATGTTTAAACAATTCAACTAAATTTCTGCAATGTTTCATCACTGCTGATGAAACAGATTCCTCTGTACATGCCAAAAAAGAAGCAGCAGTCCAAACAATGCATGGAAGAGGGTGGGAGTGCTCTAAAGTTAGTGAAATGTGTTCTATCAGTAGGAAAGTTGATGGCCAGTGTTTTTTGGGATGCTCAGGGTATGGTGCTCTTAGACTATCTAGAAAAAGATAAAACCATCAATGGAGAGTATTATGCAACATTGCTAGAGCAATTGAAGAATGCTATTATGTCCAAATATCTGCATTTGGTAAAAAGTGCTTTACCACCATGACAATGCACCTGCACAAACTTCAAATGCAGTCAAAAAACTTCATAAATTACACTTGCACAGTACTCAGCAGATTTGGCCCTCAATGAATTTTTCCTCTTCCCAAATCTGAAGCAATGGTTCACTGAACAAAGACTTCATATATGGAGGTTACAGCTCAGACAATTGCTTATTTTTGCAGTTAGAAAAATCATTAGTCTAAGTGTATTAAGTTGAAAAGTAAAAATAATTGGCCAAAATGTTTTTTTCTTTCTCAGACAAAGAAATTTTTAAACTATCTTTATATTACTACATAGCACAGAAATTTGGGGAGAGATCTTGATTATAGCTCAAGCTCTACACCAGTTGAGTTTTCTAGATTCAACTTGAGCCAAACATTTAATTTTTAAGTGCAATTGTTCAAAATAAAATGGTTTAAATAATGTGTATTTTGTTAAACTATATATATATAAAATTACTTGTCCTGACTGACTGACTGATTCATCATCATCTGGAGCAAACTGCTGAACCTAAAGAGGTGAGTGAAATCTGGTACACAGTTAGGGTACATCATGAAAATGTACACTAAGAAGGGATTTTTGGAAATTCCCCACATGGGAGAGGGATAGCATTAACCCCTTAAGCCCATAACCCGAGATATCTCGGGCAAGTTACATAACGTTACATAAAATGAGGTCCTTAAGGCCATTTTTGAAAATTTTTTTTTTTTTGAATTTTTGGAATGTTTTTTAGGTCCCGAAATTTTTTCAAAATTTTTTTCCCGCGCAAAAAAATTTTATCGCGATTTTAATGAGCCTATGTGAAGGCTCGATTAAGGCTTAATTGTTTTTTAATGGGAGTTTTTTATCAAAATTATTTCATGGTTTTTAAGTTGTAGCGCACGGATTTTCATTCAGTAAAGTTATTTAAAGTTAGTTTCTGATGTCAAAAACGACCTCCGATGGTTTTTTAATTTTTTTAATTAATATATTTTTATAAATATATAATTAATTAATTAGGGGGGGTCGGAAATCGCAATAAAATTTTGAATTTTTTAAAAATATTTAAAAATTTCTGTGTCGCTTATAGTCACCCTACTTTAAACCCTTGTCCTCCCGAGACGTCTATGAGAATGTCCCGGGAAATCGGACTCCAGCTGTGTTCAAGGTCACCCAGCTGTGTAAACAATGACTCATCGGTGTTACATTTCACAGACAGGTGAAACAAAGGAAAATAAAATTTAAAGCTTTTTCTTCAAAATTAAGGCTTAACCTGAAGAACAGCTTCTACTGTATTATTTTAGATGTGTTTTTAACTACGTTTAGTTTTCATTGAGTACTTAGGTGTATTAAATTGATAACATTTCAGACATTGTTATAAATATTTTTATATATTTTGATTTTTCAACCAAATGTTCGAACCGTTTTAAATTCGAATTTGTTATTGCATATTGGTTCAATTATAGAATGATTGTAAACGTTCCAGAAAATTGATCAAATTGAAAACAGCTCATTTGATTCTCAGCAATTCTCATCATTCTCAGCGGTAGGTGTTATATAACAATTACTATGGTTATTGAAATACTGAATATAAATGGGCTTTGCTTGCAAAATCCACAAGGGCGAAGTCGCGGGTAACAGCTAGTCTATTTATAAATCAGTTTCTATTGCTTTATGTAAATTTTATATAACAGAAATAGATATTTTGGTTACATATAACAATATGTAATTTTAGAATTATTCTTAGATATATCCAACTATAATTAAAGGAGAGGAAATCATAAAAAAAGAGAATGAAATACCAATTAACTAATAACTACTATTCACCAGTTATTTATCATCATTACACCTGCACTTGATTAAATAGCAGTTCTTTCTGATTTTACAATTGCCAACTTACATTAGAAAGGTTATAACAGTATTTAGAATATCAACAAAATTCACATTGAAACATTTTAATTATTATTTTAAAGCTATTATATTACTGCATGTAGTTTATATCAATTAATTTTGTTTAATTCTGAAAAAAAATAAAGGGTATATATCCTTGATAGTAAATCAGAAATATAAGTTGTTAGAGAGCTTTGGTTAGTCATACTGAACTTTTTTTTCTTGGATTGTATACATATGTTTGCAAAATTACACAAGCCACAAATAGTACACTATACATCATAATATAATAATTTAAAAAAATTATATCCCAAACCTAAATGTAACCAAGCATTTACTTAAAAATTAGTGCAGTATTTGATGTTGAGATAAACTTTTGACTATTTTGGACAAGGCACGTTTATAATTGCTATGTTACTCTCAATATGTCATCAAGGTGAGAATCAATAAGCCAATTTCTATATATGTTATTTGCATATTTCATTTTAGAATATGATGATTTGCAAAGATACATTTATGCAAAAAATGTGAAAATCAGTAAATCTCAGAAATATTTCTCAGATTTACTAAAAAAAAAAAAACTTACAAATCTTAAGATAATTGCAATATTTTGAAGATCAACTAAATTGCCCGAATTGTAAGATAACTCAAGTTTAAGAACAAACCAAAAAATTGCAATTAAGTAAATCATAAAAAAAGTTGCAATGCTTTAAAGATCAACTAAAAAATTAAATTGCATATACTCCAACTGAAGAGAGACTTAAGGTCCAAAATGCATTTCGGAGAGATGATAAATTATTAGAAAACAAGAACAGACTGTTAGTTTCTGGATCTAATTCTTCTGTCTCTGGCTTAATAAAGCTTAAACAACCCACACTATAGAGTAGTAGAATAATAAAACTGAAAATACTAGAGTAAAGCTTAAAAAATAAAAGATTTTTAAGATTACTAGTAAATTGTAACCAAACAACTTAAATGGATTTAATTATAAAAATAGTTAATTACAAAATAATATTTATATCATTGTTTTTGAACTGTAACCCCATAAAAGAGAAATTAACTCTTAATATGAATGAAATGATTAACTGAATTTTCAACTTTACTTACAATAGCAGTTAGCATCTTGTGAGATATTGTTCACATATAAAAAATAAGAGTACAAATTTTCTAAAAAGTTTAGGTTTTCATAATCATGTATTGACAATTATAATAGATTCTTTAAAATCAGTATGACAATTATAATAGATTCTTTAAAATCTGTATGACAATGATTTTCCACTGTTAGAATATAAATAAAAAGTTTAAAAATTATTTTTATCTTAGAAAATGTAATTTTAATGCATGATCTATAAAAAGAAAAATATTAATTAAATCAGACAATTCCTATTACAAGCATTAGAGAATTTTAGCATTAGTTGAGCTTTGTTCTTTTTTTCCTTTAATTTACCTTCATATTAAAATGTATTTAATATGCAAAGCAATCCCAACACAGATAGTTTCCACCTTTACAAGTTAATTCATTCCTAGCAATCACTCAGAAAATGAACTCAAAGCAAAAATAAAATTTCTCACATGCAAATTTTATAAGCAGTGATTATATCCTCAAGAATGAGTTTTGATTCAGAAAAAATAAAGATGTGCATTATCCTAATGTTTATTGCTTTTCTTGTTCTTTTTATTAATTGCAGTCTCTGTATTATTTTGTTTTCATGTGTTATAAAAAAAGGAGATAAATTTACTATTTATGCATATTTGAATAATATAAAAACAAAGATAAAAATTAACATATCCAAACTCATTAGCAGTAAGTACAGGAAATCCTCATTAATTCAAACTTGGATAGTTCAAAATCTCATTATGTTCATAACTGTACTATTTGTCCTGGCTGGGGATATAGAGATTTACACGTCAAGAAATTAATTAGTTTGAAATATGGCTAATACAGCTACTTCAAAATTCAAATTGACAATTCTGTCTGAACTGTGATATGTGTATGTTAACTCGTTCATTTAGATTGAAGTGCCTCCATACTCTAAGAGAATAATAGACCAAGAACAACTCTAATGTTGTCAACATGGCTTTGCTTTTACAGTAACTCATTTTTGGGTGCAACCTTACCATATGGTCTATTCTTTTTTCTACCTCATAAAATAGTTAGGTTCCAAAACTACAAGATTGGGCTACAAATAGCAGATTGAGATATTTGTAGGACTCTAAGCTACTACATTTGGGCAATTTAATACTTTTTGGGCCACTTTAAAATTAATTTGGGCTACATTTCGAAGAATTTTGCTTTATGCATTATTTTTTATAAAACCTATATGGCAACCTGTGAGGTTCTCACCGGACATGTTCTGTTTATAAGCAGTTTGTTTATATTATTATTATTAATTAATGAAAAAGCACTCTTTGTACTTATCTGTATTCCATTTGCTTAATAAATTATATCAGTTACATGGCATTTTGCATATTGTACAGAAATATATAAATCTAACATAATTTGTAACTCAATAATTTGAAGTCATGATTATTTCATCCCTTGAATTTTGAACTAATAAGGATTTCTTGTATTTTCTTTTATTATGACATTTGGTTCAAAAGAATGAACCCTTTTTGGATGGCAGCAGATAGATAAATGAATAAGTATCATTCTTGTCTGCAATGTTGTCATTACTACAGTGGTACTAATGCTAATTTTCCTAAACAAACATACAGCAGAATGCATGCTATGCCTGAAATTTTAAACACAGTATTTAAGAATATTTGACCTTTATTTATTTACTGTAATATAGGCTATATTTTTTATATATAAAAAATTTCTTAAACTCCAAAAATTGTAAAGTGGGAACTATATGGACACAAATATAGTCTGGAATTTGGAAGGAATAGTTTGTCTAAAAAAAATTGTTGCTATATGTGAGGAAAAAAATCAGTAGGATCCAAATAAATGTTTCAAATTACCATAGATTTCATTAAAACATTACCTGTTGTTATCAGAATAATCAATATTAAAATTTTATTCACAGTATTTGTTGAATTTGAAAAAGAAATTACTAGTTAAAATTTAGAATAAGCACTTTTAAAAATGTAATTATAAATATTAGCTTTGTTCAAATATGTTACAATATATTTATAAAATAAACTGATTCATATATATATGATATGAATCAGTTTGATATGATTCATATATATATATATGAATCATATAAAATTTGAATTACTGACAGTTCTCATTAATTGCATAAATTCAACTCATTAATTTTTTGAAATTAAAACAGATTTCAGTTTAAAAATAATAACTAAATTTAATGGTTAATAATAAATTTAAAAAAAATTACATTTTTCCAAACAAAATGAAACCATTCATTCACTCTTAGAAACAAAATGCACTCTGTCTCTCTGGAAATACACTAATTAAAATATTTTTTATTTTGATTGTAAAAAGTTACAATTACACTAGAAAGTTTTAATTGTCAATAAAATAAATTAAAACTTAATATTAAAAAAAAATTGAACAACACATCAAAAACAATTATAAATAAAATTAACTAAAATTTTTTATTAAATATAATGAATAAATCAAATAATCAAACGTATTAATAAAATAACAACAAATTAATGAATTTTTCAGTGAAAATAGATTTAAAAATAAAATATAATTTAAAATTTATAATTATGAACATAAAAATGATAGATTATTAACATTTACTACTTACAATGTATTAATTACAATGATAAAAAGGTTTTTTATAGCTAATAATTTTCAGCTGTATTTATAATCTTTGTAAAGAATATGAATATAGTCCAAAAATGTTTATAATTAAAACTATTATGATTAATAAAGTTTTTATTTCCTTATAAAATAATATTTTCATAACTTCATAAAGTAGAAGAATTAATCATCTGATTTGATTAACAATAGATATATAACAACCAAATAATTTTATGTAAATTACCCTGTCAAATAATTAATCAGCAACATTTTCATTCTTAGGTTTATGAAAATCTGTAATATCTGTTGTATCAGATGACGACGATGACGATGAAGATGACGACGATGATGATGATAGATCCAATGGAGTTTCTGTAATAATAATAAAAAAATATATTTCAAAGTAATTATTTTAAAACAAAAATATTCTACCATTAATAAACTATTATAAAATAAAAAATTATTTAATAGATTTTTTTTCTTGCATATATATTAACTAGCAGATAGGCCCAGCATTGCTTGTGCAAAAAGTAACGATAGCGAAGATTAAGATTATTACGTTATAGTCAACCTTACCTGTTTTCACACAATGAAAGAATTGGGTCCCTCTGTTTCCAGACTAAGTAGAGAATTTTTAGATGGGTCTAAAAATATGTTCAATTTCCCGCAAAAACGAAAAACTGCATCTGCGTCTTGCACGTCACTTTTTTTTAACAATTCCATTGTTAAAACTTTCATTGTTGATACTTCCATTGTTACTTAACACTTCCATTGTCGATACTTCCATTGTTACTTAACACTTCCATTGTCGATACTTCCATTGTTACTTAACACTTCCATTAACAATGGAAGTGTTAAGACTGAATCCTGTCCCTCTCCCTCGTGGGGAGGAATTTCAAAAAATCTCTTCTTAGTGTGCGTTCCTGTGACATACCCTAACCATGTACCAAATTTCAACTCCTAACTATTTGGGCTCTGCGCTTATTATTATTATTATTATCATCATCAACCCGATTATATATATAGATGATGCAACAAATAGTATATTCGGCCTCAGACCGAACAGCCAAATATTCGGCCAAACTATTCGGCTTGATTAATGCATGTACGAAAATTGGCGCGCAAACTGCATTATGGCAAGGATCGCGCACTCTGCTCTCTATTGGCCTGCTGTCACTACACTTCGCCAATCACATTAATTCTTGACAGTTGTAGCAGACAGACATGAGTGTCATGGCAGTATGTGATAAGTGATGATATCAAATGTGAATAACAATGAAATGACCTACAAGTGTAAATAACAGAAAAACAACAAAGGACTGCGAAGCGAAAATAAATATGAAATTGAGTTGATAACATAATCAAACAAGTCGAGGCAGCTTATTGGTGTGAAATTTGCAGCTGTCAATGTCAAATAATTGTTCTCATAGACTTCGGAAAGCTAAATGCTTGTAATGAAAATCACTTAGCGTGCACGAGCAAAAGCCTGGAACCGTTCAGGCTACCAACCTGTCTGGAATCTGTGAAATCATAACTGTGACTTATATATACGACCTATCTGTCTCTTTTCTCCGTTATCACCAGGCTGAGTCACGTAATTGTAAAATGGGAAATCTACGACAGAGTGACAAACCGAAAGTATCGTGCATGCACATTATGATTTATATACAAGTATACAGATAACTAAACTACATAATAAGTGGGTAGTTTTCATTTGATTTGTTACCTTTTTTTGATCTGTTAAAAAAATAACTTAGTTATATTACTTTTCCATTGATCTTTTACATAAATAAGCAAAAAAATTGTACTTTCTTGAACTTGAAATGTATGTTCAGTTAATAAATCATTAATAAAAGTTACCAAAATGATTAATTTACTGTGTTTTTGTTATTTCTTACTCCTGTTTTTAGGTATTTGGTATTTGGCCGAATAGTGACTACATATTCGGTATTCGGCCAAATAGCAAAACATAGGCCGAATACCAAATAGTAGCCGAATATTCGTTGCACATTAATTTAAATACAACTTTGGTTGTCATAATTAACACACTATTTTCTAATGGTGAATTCAACTGGTTACCCTACTGATCAGGATTAGAGTAAGACAACATCACTGCAAAAAGATTAAGAATAGACAAGTGATCCAAAGAACTTGGTGCAAGTCACATCATAACTTTTGGTGTACAATTCAAATTACATTTGTTTTACTTATTGTGGTAATATAGCCAATTATCTCAATCCATGTATTCATCCACTAACTCCAAAAATCTTTCAAATTTGGTCTTTTACCCTGTTGCAACTGATATTGTAATAAATCAATGATGTTTCTCAATATTCAATGATGATTCTTCAAATAAATTGAGAAAATCTATTAATAGCTACACAGTAGTTTTACATTCTCTACAAATATTTGTCATTGGGCAATGCCATATTTAAAGCAGCTGTTACTCTTGTTTTTTCCAGAGAAGAAAGTACACTCCAAGTGCAGTTACTCTCAGATAACAGAGAATAGAGTACTCCACTTTCATACTCTGAAAAGTCAAATAGGAAGGAGCAAGCAGAGCATTCTACAAAGACAAATTGGGTAGCAGCGAAATTTGCCATGTAGTCCATTCACTCTAAAACCTTGAAATCTGATGTGTTTTATAATTTTGTGCATGATGTGGCAGTTCCTACAAATGTCATCTATGTTGTGTCTTTTAAAATGTACTTTTGTAGTGTGTGTATCTATGATCTGGATTTATATCACAATCATGAATTCTGATTTCTCTCCCTCTAAAGAGGCATCTCTGAGCCAGCCAGCACTCTGATGCAGTTTTGTCAATGTTATCTTGGTTAAGATTATTATGATGATTACTGTGGACTCCCCCAAGCCCAAAACTACTTGGTGGTATCTGTTTATGTATTGTGTTATATTCAGGTAAAAATCTTTATTTTGTTTTTAGTTAAGACAATTAATTATGAATATATACATGCAAATATAACTAGTTTATTTCATGGATGTAAGGAGCAAATTTTTTTTTATCATAAGTAGTATTTAATGAATGGGAAACTTATTGACTGAGCCATCTACAGAGTTATCAAAACTATGTTAAAATTAGGCTCTGTCATTTTAGTCTTATGATTTTTTTGAATAAAAGAGAGAACTCTTTTATTCAAAAAAATCCTTTCCAATTTTATCTAGAAGCACTGTCAATACACAGAAATTTTTTTGTTGAAGGTCTTTCATTTCTTATCATTATGCTGTAACTTGACCTCCTCCAAAATCAGGAAGTACTTTCCAAGAGGCATATTTCAAAAATGGGCATTTCACATATTAGCAAAGCAATGAGACTAGCTTTTTTATGCTAACATTTTTAAGGTATGTATATTTTTGAGAAATTGATATTCATTCTTTTAACAATTTTTTTTATTTAAAATTTTAATCAAATTTTTTCTGAATAGACTTGCATTTATTTGACTCCTTTTTCTCTAAGATAATGTTATAATTTATACAAAACAGCAAGCTGCTTCAAATTACATAAATTTAGAGCATAAAGATATATACCCCCTTTTAGTGCAGATAGCACTTTTTGTACATTGAAAACTTAAGAGTAATTGAACACAAAGAAAACCCGAAGAAGGATAAGGCAACAACAGCTCTAGCAGAAGAATTAACTGATAGATAAACACACACACAACCTAGACAGCAAGAAACCAAGGTCATCTTACCAGACACAAAGAACATAACCCTAAGAATCACAGAGGATCTAGTCATTGCTACCAAAACACAACCCATTCAAAATATACAAACATAAAGCAATGATCTTGATCCCTGGATCTAATTATCATCATCCAGGAACAATAAAAATTAAAAGCAAATGGTCTGTTCATCCCATTTTAATTATGACATCTGTAATTTATTTGCTTTTGTTTTTACTTTAAGTTAGGTATTATCATACTGAATTAAAGGTCTCCTCCATACAACACAGTACTTCTATAACACAGTTTTGCTCTAACACGATTTGAAAATTGGGGATACTCCCCACAGAACATAACTTCCAGTTTTACTCTAACAGTTTGAGAAATTGGGAAATCCTCCATACAAAATATCACAATTTTTAAGTACAAACTCCATTATTCGATATTTTTTATATGAGTAAGCATACATGCTGTCACAAATTTACACATGGATTTTACAATATTGAAAATTTTAATTTCTTTTGGACCTTTTGTCAGGTTTACTTTAATGAAAACTGACAGTGCAATGTTTATCTTCCTTGTTGATAGACAAAGAGTCATTGTAACTGCTTTCAGGCTTTAGCATTTATGACTGTTACTTTGTTTTTATACATTAGTTTTCATTTTTTGTAAAAGTTTAATAACACTTACCTAAACATATTTAAACTTTTTTTGATCACAGAAAAGCAATTCATAAAAATGACAAATGAAATACAGTGGTAACTCAGCATTTGAACACAATTTCTAGATTTAAAAAAATTCCTTGGTATACAACTGAACACCATCATTAGAACAAATTTTCAATTAATAACTTATTTTTATTTTGTTATCTATAAAAATTTTTATACTTAAAATTAATATGATTTGTCGAATAAAAATTGTTATCTATAAAAATTTTTATACTTAAAATTAATATGATTTGTCGAATAAAAATTGTTATCTATAAAAATTTTTAATAAAAATATATAAGTAATTTTAAAATAAAATGAAATCTTAGAGTTGCTTATCTTGGTGAGACAAAATTATACTCAATCTAGTTTTTGTTTTTTCTTTCTTTCACTTAATGTGCGTGGAATAAAACATGTTTTGTAACCATTCCAAAGTCAATGAAGTGTTTCAACACTATCCATCTGACATTAAAAGTTGTTGGAAGTTTACAACTTGTTATTTGTCAATTTTTATAACTTTTCCATCAGTTTTTCTTCACATAGCTTTTGGGTACCCCATACGTTTTGTATCTAGTTCAGAATTTACATGCGTCTTTCCCATGCCCATTGTGAATATTTTTTACAGTTTTTTGGAGCTATATCTTTTCTGAAACTAAAAAAAAATAACACGCCTGATATGCTTTTTATCCAAAGACATTACAACTTGATTTTATTCAAACAAAATGTGAAGTAAAAAGTTTAAAATAAGCTTCTAAGCAAAGAATTCAATCTCACATTAGCAATGTGTTAAATTTTCCAGAAAAATATGGAAAACTTTCTGTTTAGTCCAATAAAATTAATAAGTATACTCTGCCACTTTGTATTGTGTATAGATACTTTTTTATTATAATTTAAGCATGTTATGCATGGAAACTTTTTATTAAATTTGTGGTAAATTCTAGTTAAAATACTTTTATAAGTGTATTTTACAGGATCTGTAATAGATTAACCAATTTACATTATTCCTTATGGGAAAAATTTGTTCAGTATTTGAACAGCCTTCTCGAACAAAGTAAGTTTGAGTATAGAGTACCACTTTATTTCAATTATATATGTGATACATGAAAATGTTAGTTCTATCAAAAAATATATATATAAAAATAAATCATGTCTGATAGAAATAAAGAAGTATCTTGTAAAAGACATTTCATTTCACTAGAATTAAAAGCACAGATTTTGGATCATCTGAAGAAAAGAGAAAAAATATCATATGTTACAAAATCTTTAAATTTACATGAAGCAACAATCCAGACCATAAAAAAAAATTAGAGATTCTGTTATTGCAGGATGCTCCATTTCTGCAAATATGACAGTGCCTAGAGAACTGATAATTGAGAAGATGGCAAAAACTCTTAACATTTGGATTGATGACTTCAAAAAAAACACCAATGTTATTAAACAGAAATCTTTAAAAATTTACAACTATTTAAGAGAAAATGGAGAACATTCTATTAACTATGACTTGTAGCTAGTAAAGGTTAGTTTGGGTGTTTTAAAAAATAAGCATTACAGAACAAAACAGCTACAAGAGGAAACTGCATCAGCTGATAATGAAACTGCCAAAAAATATCCAAAAGAATTGCAAGAATTTATTGAATGAGGCAGATTCATGACACCAGGTTTTTAATGCACATGAGCCAAGTCTTTGGTGGAAAAAAAAATGTCCAAGAGAACATTTATTTCAAAAAATTAAAAAGCTGCATCAAGTTTTAAAGCACATGTAACATTACTTGTGTATACAAATGTATCAGGAAAACATGTGGTAAAACTCATGCTAGTTTATAAATCCCTCAATCCTTGAGTAATGAAAAATCTAAACAAGAGTACCTTACCTGTATATACTTCAAATAGAAAAGCTTGGATAACTGCTGATTTATTTAAGAAATGGTTTCTAAACTATTTTGTACCAAAAAAAAAAAAACAACTAAAAAAAAATCTGGATTTCAAAGTTTTACTAATATTGGATAATGCACCAAATCACCCAAAAGATTTAAATTATCCAAATATTGAAATATTTTTACCACCAAATACTGTAGTCGTACGCTATATTTTGTATGTATTAAGTTAAGTTAGTTTAGTTCTTTCCTGCTATCCTTTGTTCTATTATTCTATCTCCTTCTAGAACTTTCCTATCTTAATCCCTGTCCCTTGGGTGGGATGACCACTTCAGGGAAATGGAAGAACAAAGAAGTTCGAATTACCCTTAAGACAAGGAGGAACGGACAAAAGGCATTCGAGGACGGAACTGCGAGAGGTGCAGACGTGAAGAGTGGACACTTGAGAGTCGCTTAAGCCACGAACGGAGGTACTGGAAAGATTGAGAAAGAAGTTCTTGTCCAGCGACAGCGGCAAAAGAATTTAGAAGAATAAGGATCGTAATACAGGATAGGAAGACGACGACAACTCGAGTTTGGCATCCCACCCGACAGCACGTATAAGTCGAACATACCAACAAAAAAATCCCGGGTATTTTCTTTGCCTATCGTATGTATTCTGCTTTCATCCTCCTATTTCTATTCTTCTCTTCCACTAATATTAAGTTAGTATAAGGTTAGTTATTAAGGTCGGGCCCTTTTATGTGATCGAGATCGGAAACGGTACAGTATGTGTGAATTTAAATATTGTAACTGTAGTAATATCTTATACCATTTGTGTTGATAGTGACGTTGGAATCTATAAATAAAAAATAAGTTTTTTTTCTCGCAAAATTATTTCATTGTAAAAATCTTAATTTTGCTCACATATATCACAATACAACTTCTTTACTTCAGCCATTACATCAATGAATCATAGTCACATTTAACACTCATTACATCAAGCACCTGCTGCAATGGATTGTGAATAAAAAAAAATTGTTGAATCTACTGAATCATACAGGCATGTAAGCTGTTCACAATTTTGTCCTGTATTAATCTCATATCTCTGTCTATCAAAGAAATAAAACCCACATTAAATGTCTGCTGGAAAAATTTATGGCCAGAGTCAGTTCAAAGCTCCAATCTAGCAGAAAACAGAACTGAAGCAATACTAAAACTTGCTAAATCTGTGGGAGGGGAAGGTTATGATGACTTGAATCTTAAAAGATATCCAAGAACTATTGGAAGAAGAGATTAATAAAGCAAATTTGGTCAAAATGGTATCTGAGATCAACCAAATTAATTCAGAGGATGATAGTACAAATGAAAATCCTGAAACTCAAAATTTTATCCTAAAAGCATACAAGAAGGGATAAATTTGGCCAAACAATTAGAACTCTACTTTCTAAATACATATCCTTCCACTGAAAGAAACAAAGTTTAAGAGAGAACTTTCAGAAATGCATGACTCCATATAATGAAATTTATAAAGGTCTTTTAGGAAAAAGAAAGCAAATGAAATCATCAGATTTTATGGAAAAAAAATAATAATAAAGATGCTGCTGATCAAGATCAACAAAAAATCTCAGAAGACAATAGTTTGTAAAAAGAAAAGGCCCACATTTAAAATTAATATTAACATGTGATACAGTACTTTTAATTGTTACTTAATTATCAATTGGAAATAAATTATTGATTGCTTTAATATGTCTCTTAGTAATGAAAAAGTATAGTATACTTTTGCTAACTTCTGAAACCAAACTCCATATTTTTCATTAATCCTTTGTTTCATATAGCACGGATTTACATAACACAGCATTTTTTGGAACGTATCTACCATACTATACAAGGGATACCTGCATTTTTTTTTGTCTGGAATTAAAGGGTCATATTTTCTGATAATTTTTATCTTGGCTATATTTTGTATAGCATAGTTAATGCTCATCTTAATGAATAAGCTAATTTAATTTGGTTTTATGTTGTTTTAGTTTATTTTATTTTAGATTTCTTGCTTTTGGATATTTGTACTCTTGTTTCAGTTTTGTCTGTCTATTTACTTATTTTTTGAGTTCATATGGCTCAAATGTTTTGAATCCATGCTCAGGGTTCAAACAGCTTAAAAATGCTGGTGGAAATATATATTAGATTTAAAAACCACTGAATGAGATCTAATGTTCATATGTACAAATGATGCATATAGTTTCAAAAATGACTAAGTCCATGTTTTTAAAAATAAAAGCTGGCTAAGAACTTGCCATCTTATTTATTTTACTGTTCTTTTCAATGATGATTCTTATAAATTTTTAAACCACAAAACAACCACAAAACAGAAAGGAATGAAAAGGGAAATGAAAGTTGGAAGTTAGTTTCAAAATCAGCCACATTCACAGCCCTTTATTCCAGACCCAGAAAAAGTGGAGTAGGCCATTTTTAAAACTGTACATCACAAGTCTCAAGAAAACATTTTATCTTGTTTAAATTGATTACTCCATCTATTTAGCATTCTTTATTATGCAAACACTTCTAAAACACTTATAAATATAAATATACATATTTATTATTATTATTATTATATATGTGTGTGCAAACTTACCGCTATCACCTTGAGGCTGATCAGATAATCTGTTCATACCCATAGAATCAGTATACGTGACACAACAGGAACAAAATGGAGAGTGCATTTGGCCATATGAAAGGATTGGTGCAACAACCCATGGAACCAGATCAACACCACTTTCAGAGCATCTTTCATCAACTTCTAATTCACGTGTTGAATTATTTTCCTCACAAGTAAAATTTTCATTCTTTTTGCTCAAATTAACTGGTTTATCTGTTGAGAAAAATACTTTTCATGAAGTCTTTCTGAGGTAAAATGTTTTCTATTTCTATATTTCTTTTATTTTGAAAAAGAAAATAAAAGCAGTAAAGATAAATATAAACAAAAATCAAATAAATTTCAGCTTTTAACTCATTGAAATACTCAGTATAAATATTAGACAAGAATCACAGGCAGACGTGAAGAGTGGACACTTGAGAGTCGCTTAAGCCACGAACGGAGGTACTGGAAAGATTGAGAAAGAAGTTCTTGTCCAGCGACAGCGGCAAAAGAATTTAGAAGAATAAGGATCGTAATACAGGATAGGAAGACGACGACAACTCGAGTTAGAAGTCATCGTTTGGCATCCCACCCGGCACGTATAAGTCGAACATACCAACAAAATAAATCCCGGGTATTTTCTTTGCCTATCGTATGTATTCTGCTTTCATCCTCCTATTTCTATTCTTCTCTTCCACTAATATTAAGTTAGTATAAGGTTAGTTATTAAGGTCGGGCCCTTTTATGTGATCGAGATCGGAAACGGTACAGTATGTGTGAATTTAAATATTGTAACTGTAGTAATATCTTATACCATTTGTGTTGATAGTGACGTTGGAATCTATAAATAAAAAATAAGTTTTTTTTCTCGCAAAATTATTTCATTGTAACAATCTTAATTTTGCTCACATATATCACAATACAACTTCTNAGATAATTACATTATAGCCAATCTTACCCGTTTTCACAGAATGCAAGAATTAGGTCCCCCGTTTCCAGACTAATTAGAGACCTGGTCCTGATTCTATTTCTGAACGTCTCCTGTTCACGTCAAGTCAAACGAACTATTTTCAACGTTTCTGGAACGTTTACAATCGTTCTATAATCGAACCAATATTCGAATTTTATGTTCGAATTCAAATTCGAATTTAATTTGAACAATATTCGAATTAAATTCGAACAAATTCGAACATAAGATTTGAAATAGAGAACCACTTTCAAGCCCATATCTCCCGCACCCTTATAGCTATCGAGACGCAACCACCCTGAATGGAGACTTGGGGCTACTACCACATACAAACACCATTCATGTGCGATGTGTAGTTTTGGCGAAAAAGTGAAATATAGGGACACACACGTCCATTTTTATATATAAATATATGCTCTCCACCTCAAATTAGTAGTGTCTTACTCCTGTACAGTACATCATAATTTTCCTTTAACAATAGAGTCATGCCAGTCATTTATTAATCTCAAGAATGGATAGATGGATGACAGTGGGAATTTATAGGTCTGCATATGAAAAAATTGCAGCCCAAAAATTATACAGAAAATCTTTGTTAATTCAAACTCAGATAGTTCAAAATCCCATTAGTTTGTAACTGTACTATATGTCCCAGGTGGGCTATAAAGATTTACACTTTAAGAAATTCAGTTAGTTTGAAATACAGCTACTTTGAAATTCAAAGTGAAATTTCTGTTTGAACTGTGATATGTGTATGTTAACTCAGTTGTTTAGATTGAAATGTCTCCATGCTATAAGAGAACAACAGACCAAGGACAACCCTAATCTGGTCAACATAGCTTTGCTTTTATAGTAACACAGTACAAGTAGAAGATTGAGATATTTGTAGGGTTCTAGTGATTACATTTGAGCTACTTATTACTTTTTTGACCACTTTAAAAATAATAATTTGGGCTACATTTTGAGGAATTCTGCTTTGCTTTTTATAAAACCTATCTGGCGATCTTGAGGTTCTCATCAGATGCATGCTGTTTACTTGCAGTTTATTTACATAATTATTATAATTAACAAAAATAGCATTCTGTATACATAGCCTTATTCTGTTTGCTTAATAAAATACATCAGTAATAGGGTATTCAGCATATTGTTCAGAAACATGTACATTTCAGATAATTCAAAGTCATGATTATTTTTATCCCTTGAACTTTGAACTAACAAAGATTTCCAGTATTTTAAATTTTTAATTAACAGCAAAATGTTTTGGTTAATGTTCTAATAGGCTTACAAACAAAAATTTACAAATTTTATAAAATTTTCCTTTTCCTTTACAGGAGATGTTTAATAAATGAACAATTGTAAACAAGTCCAACTGCTAATAAGTTAAGGAATTCTATCATTTTTATTTTGATGAAATGTTTTGAGAGATCAAATGACCAATTTTACCTGCATTTTCAAATCTATCTATCAATTTGAGCCACCATTCTGTGTAACAAAAAAGCAGCTGTCTTTTTTATACAATAAAACTGAATGTTCTGACAGATCATCCTGCAAAGCATGTTATATTTAACACACCTATCTCTAGATTACTCTGCTTTCATCTCGCATTACCACATTTGGTATGCACAAGCAATCTGTACTGAGTGAGATTAGATATAAATGCTATTTTCCCAATGGAGTGTAATCCTATAGCTCTATGGGTTGCCAAACTGATAGTTATCGATACCAGCCTCCACAGTCAGTGAAAAGCAAACACTGCAGACTATGTATACTGGCAACAGTTCTGAGATATGTCACAAATACAGAAGTTCTGTTTTCATTTACACAGATGAATCCAAATCTCAATCATGTTGGATCCTCTGTCATGACAATGTGGTGATGGATCAACTATCAACAGATGCCTCAGTATTTTCTGCTGAACTGCATGCCATCCATCTAAAACAGTGGTCCCCAACCCCCGGGCCGCGGACCGGTACCGGTCCGTGGATCAAACGGTACCGGGCCGCCCAAGGAACATTAAATTATTTCCATTTTATTTACTATGGTGTATTTCCTCGGGTTTGTGCGACTTTTAATGGACGACGGAACAACAGAATAAACTGGACGTAAGAAACACACTTCGGGTGTCATTGTCTCCTATTACCCCTAGAGGGAACCGTCTCCTTGCAATGAAACAAGCTCAGGGTTCTCATTGATTTAGCGTTCTAGTGAATTAAAATGTTAAATCACATTATATTCATTTTTTTGGTGTAACTGTATTTTATTTTGAAGGCATGTTTAAATACAATTAAATTAAAATTATTAAATTAAGTCAATCTAAAATATAAACGATCAACGTCCCCCCTCAGTGGGCCGCGGTAAAATTATCAAACTTTGACCGGTCCGCGGCGATAAAAAGGTTGGGGACCACTGATCTAAAACATATCACGAACAAATGATATCCTCACAGTATAATATGTTCAGACTCCCTAAGTATGATGCAGGCTTTGAACTCTCTTCAGTTTTATCGGCATTGTCTCATGCAGATAGTCCAGCAACTGTTATACAAACTTGTTTCAAGAGACTACCAAGTCAGATTTATTGGGTTCTAAGACACATAGGCATAAAGGGGAACGAATTGGTATGATATAGCAGCTAAGCCAGCCACCCTACTCAGCCAGTTTCCTCTTTCAATATCCTACACTGATTTAAAGCCTGTCAACAAAGGCCAAACTATACAAATTACAGTAACATTCATGGGATAACCAGACTAACAATAAACTGCACAAGATCAAGCCTGTCATAGAATGGTGGAAATCAAGTTTTTGCAGAAATAGATGAGAGGAAGTTGTCCTGGCAGGATTGCACATAAGACACAGTCTTCTCACCCACCATTACCTTTTGATGAGTGAGAACACACTTTAATGCCTTTTGTGACAATGCCTTTTAACTGTTAAGCATATTTTAATTGCATGTCAGCTTTTTACCCAATTGCATTTGTGATATTTTAATCAATCTAATATTACCTATTTAGCTCTTATTGACAAAGATTTTAATCCTTCACATCTTTTTACATTTTTATCAGACACTAGTATTATAAGAAAAATTTGATGTTTTAGACTTTTCTATGATTTTATCATGATTTGCTTTATTCTTTTAATTGTATTTTAACTGCTTGTCTTGTGGCACACATTTTATGAATTATTTTTATATGTCTACTTTTAATGGTTTTTTTTGTGTCTGATTTTATGCAATTTTATTATTCTTATCTCATTATTATACTCATTGACTTAGTTTTTTATTTTAGCTTATTATGAGTGATCATTTCATTTTAATATATAAATATATATATATATATATATTTTTTTTATTTAACTGTTGTTTTAAGACTTTAGTTATGTTTCATTTTAATGTTTATTGATAATTGCTGTTTTATACTTTATAGTAACTGCTCCCTTTACAAGCAATTTTCTATTTTAAGCATTTTAATCTTTTGCATATGGTTGGCACAGCTTGGCCAAGGATCTCTTGGGCCAAGCCAATATTAAACTAAAAATACATTTTCCTTATGACTTTACTCAAAACCAGTTTTTTTTTTTTAAAATTGTCAACAGCTGAAGAGTGGTTTAGACCCAAAATACATTCAAAAATCACAACTCAAAATGATTAATTTTACCATATTCTTTTATACATGCATCCTGTATGATAAGTCCTACATTTGTTGAGTTTGAGATTTAAAAGTACAGTAAGTGAAAAGGTTACTTACTGTCTTAGTGTTTGTTACAAATCTAATGGCTGTAGTACTAAAAAAAAATTCATTATGGACTTCTTTATAGGACATGGCAGCAAATTTTTAACTAGAGTATTGGGCACTCAAGTTTCTTACAAAAGGAGGACAAACACCTATGGATATCAAGCAATGGCTAGATTATATGTATGGGGAAGCTTTGCCATCATATAACACTGTCAAAGAATGGCTAAACATTTTTGATTAGGGAAAGAAGCCCTTGAAGAGGACATAAAATCTGTCACCCAGTAACCTGAGAAAAAATTGGTATGGTGGAGGAGCTAGTTTTTTCAGATCACGGTTGAAAGTGAAAGAAATAACAGCAATGAATAACCTATCACATATGAGTATTTGGCATATATTAATACTTCATGAGCATTTACACCTGAGCAATGTCAGTGCAAGATGGGTTCCAAACTTCTTTCTGCCATCAGCATACAAAGTCTGCAGACAACTTTGGATCTCTACAAAGCAGGTAGAGTTGATTTTTTGAAATCTGTTTTTACAGCAACAAAACTATAGTTCTTTATTATGACCCTTTCTCAAAATGGAGTCAATAGAGTGAAAAAGACATGGAATGGAGTCCCAAAGAAAGGCTACTGTCACCATGAGCCATGAACATTGTGACCACTGTTTTTTTTTTTTTTTTTGGGGACTGAGGGCATATTGATAGTGGACTTTAAAGAAAGAAATACTGCTGTAAATGCAAAATAGTACTCAATGTTACATCTGTTATACGACAATGGACCCATCCACAGTGCAGCATTTGCTAAATCTACCATTATAATCAGGCAGATTTTATGCCATTGCATGGACTGGTTTTTAGTTTTCAGCTCAATCACTGCCTTACAGCAAGTGATTGAGCTTGAATGACTCATACTATTTGTTATTTCCAGACTTAAAAAAATGCTTTTCAAGAAAGACCTTTTTCCAGCAATGATACGCTGCAGACAGCAGTAATGTACCATTCTGAACAAAACTCTTCAGCATATTTTTATAAATAAATGAATTACTTTTTACTTTCCTGGCTGTTATATAAGTGGGAAAATATGGCACTCAGTCAAAAAATGATCCCTTTAAGATTTTTACATTTTTGGACCTCAGACCCTGAAATGTCAAAAATTGCAAAAAAATTTGGAGGGTTTTTCTGAACTATGGATGTTTGCGTGTGTTGAGGGCACGATTTTGTTCACTCAATTTAACGCTTAGCAACTCCTGTCTTTTATTAAAAATTTCTGAAATTTTGCAGGGAGGTTTGTATATTAGGAGATTGAGGCTATTTAATTTTGGTGGTTAAGGTCAAGGGGATGGGGAGATAGAGAAAGAATTACTTGTCATATCTCTAATGGGGTCAGACTATAATGAAGATTTTACTCATTATTAGCATTTACAATTTTTTTTTTATAAAACTCATCACTACCCTCAAAATTAAGCTTTTTACCATTATATGATAATTAATATAAAAAGTTTTTTTAAATAAAATATAACAGATGGAACCATCAATTTTAAATTTTTTTGCTAGAAAAGTTAAACCCACTGCTGGATTTTTAAACAGTGTCTTTAGTGCACTGAAATCAGGGATGATTGAAAATAATCATTATTTGTTTCTTTTCTTGATTTTTCTCACTTAAATCTGAAACTTATTTCTTACATATCATTAAGTAATCTTCAAGTAAGACGACAATACTAAAATAAATCTTAAGAGACAAATGACTGAATGACAAGAAAAGTATTAAAAAGAAAGATTGTAACAGTAAGTTGTTATTCTGATCTCTAAATTTGAATATTTATTCTCCAAAAGTTAAAAATGCTTTATATCTGCACAAAAAACTAATATCTGATATGTTGCCATACAAATTCTTCTGGATTTTCACTGCCTGTATGGATTTTATTTACTTACAAGTTATAAAATTTTAATAGTAGATTTAATATTACCACAAAGCAGATTTCATTGACTAAATCATCATCTAATAAGAGATCACACTAACCTTTTAAAGACTATTCAAATAGAAGGTGCACTCAATCATTCCATTTCAGAACTTTTTGTAAAGTAGTTAGTATCTACTCTCTCTACTAAAGAATTTTGTTTTTTTCTGGAGTACAATCTGAGTGCAAATAAAAGTACTATTTTTCTAAAATATTTTAAAATAATTGATATAAAAATAATCTATACACAATTTCTTAGTTTACAGCATTTTAATAAGTATTTTGAATAAGGTAATTAATGTATTTTAGTATTTTATTGAAAGAAATAACCAGTAATTTAAAAATTAATCTTTGTCATATATCATATTCTTATATCTCATCTTAATAAAAAAAACTCATATTATATTAACAAATGTAGAAACTCCCTGATTTACAGTAAAATTTAGGGCAAATCACCAGATCATATGTTAAAACTGTTTACTGTCAGAGATAAATAATAAACAGGATATCATAGACAAATTTTTTTATTATCTTTTTTTTCTGGTATAAAAAAATTCTAATAATAAATATAATATTAAGCAGATAATTAAATAACGTCATAATAAATTAATACAAAAAGACCAGATATATTGCATATACTCTGGTACAATGGAGTTATCATACCAAGACAGTATTTTTAAGTATGATACAAAAAAAACTTACAGGAGAATGATTTTAAGTTTTAATGTAAACCAAGGAGTGACAAATTAAAATTAATATGAAAAATACAAAAATAGTTTTTACCTTTGTTAGTGGGATCTTTTTTACAATTATACACAGGTGGAAAAACAGTTGGAGCATATGTAACAGTCATACCATATCGCGAATACTCACAACTTAAAGGATAACCTTTACTCAATAACTGTGAGCTATGACAATCTTTTTTAACTGTCTCACCCTTAACATATGGTAATCCATGTGAAACCTGAACACTCCAGCCATCCAAGGGCATATTAGTTTGAGACATATCATTTAAAGATAACGAATCTTTAATGGATGTAGAAACTGATGTTCTTTTTTGACAAGTGGAAGACTTTATGAAGGGACACATTTGTGTATCAGAAGCAACTGAATCATGCACAGTCAAACTTTTTTCAGATGTCAGTGCTTCACAAGATTTAGATAAATTTTTTTCAGAATTTTTTATAGATAAATCCAGAGGACCACCTACAAATTTAAGAAATTTTATAATTTTAGCATTAAATTTTTCAATTTAAAAATAATCATAAAAAGAAAATTTAAAATAATTTATCAGATAAATTAAACTTAGAGAACAATGCCAACAATATGATGAAAAACAAACAAGTAATTACAGATAATATCTTTACTTGGATTAATTACAATATATATATTATATACATACAAATTGATGCTATTATATATATACAGTAGAGCGTCGATTTTCCGAAAGTCAATCATCCGAAAGAATTCCAGTCGTCAAATTTAAATTTTCGCCAGTGCTGTGGTGCTTCAATTTTTGGCTGTGTCTTGGGCTACTCAAATATTTTACGTTTTTGATACTAAATTAACATCTGAAGTATAATTTTTTATTATTTTTATATTTTTCAATATATTTATTTTGTTTGTACAAAATAAAAAAATAATTTTTAACGANAATAATAAACCAAAACAAAGTTATTTGACAAGCTGGAGGTGGTTACACTGCCATCTTGCAATAAATTTAATAATTATAAATGAAATTGATTAAATTTAATTTAATTTAGAATATTCTGAAAGAAAAGAATTGGCCCAAAGTATGAGTTGAACCCATTACTCCTGCTTATTGTGTGGGTGTATTGCCAGTTACATATATATATATATATAATAGCATCAATTTTTATGTTAGAAAGTATAATCAAGACAAAACAGAAATATTTCTAATTTGAATATTAAGGTCAACAAAAAGTTCCATTCAATTTTCCATGCATGGTTTTCTATGCAACTAAATTAACAAAATTAATATATTTTCAGTACTTTTGGACGAAAAGTGTGCAACAGACTTTCGTCTCAACCTGTATATGTTGGTAATAAACTGGATATGGATATTCTTTTTTGTGAAAAAAAACATTGGTTGTTAATTTTTGTTGCTGTGAATGACTTTCATTATATTAAAACTAGTCATCATCTACTCTTAGACAAAAAATAATCTTTATATAACTGTTAGTAAGTTTATGGTAACATCTGTATTAACTGTGATCTATTACTGTATACAGTATAAGTAAGTAATCTCGCTTTTTATCATTCATGACTTAATATTGAAAGTAATATATTTTTATTGAATTAAAAAATCCTAAGTATGAAATGTGAACAGCAAATCCTATGCAATCAATCAAAAATTTCTGAAAGTGATCTGTCGATCCCAACTGACTGGTTAAGTATTACTGCTGTAGTCAACACATTTCCCTATACATTGTCTGTCCTGCAAGATGGTAGCTGTTAGATATTATCATCAGCCAATTATTATTATCAAAACAGTCTTGAATCAATGCAATCACAATAAGTGACAGTCCACTGTATTTAAATTAAGAATATATACAGTCAAATCTTGGTTTTCAACATAATTTGTTCCTAAAAGTTGTTCTAAAACTGAAGCAAATTTTCCCATAAGAAACAATATAAAATGGATTAATCTGTTCCCGACTCCCCCAAAAAACCCTTTTTTAACCTTTTTAGCTGAATGTCATAAATAAAAATGTCTACAAATGCATTGTAATATTATATATAATATAATACTGTATTATATATAATAAATTTTTATTCTATAATTGAACTTAAGCACCTTTAAACACAAATTCTTAGATACCATTTATATTATACAAATGTCAGTTAACATGGATTTTATTAATTTCATTTAAATTTGACTGCAGTACATACTGAGAAACAGAAGTATCTTTCCTGCATATGCATTGAAACCTAAGTTAAATAGAAACATCATTGATGATTTGTCATGACGTCTAATGACATAAGGTGATCTCAGCACCACTAACTTCTGAATAAGTAGTCCTGTCAATGATTGGTCAGACCATTGACTTTCTAACTTAAATTAGGAAGTATAGAGAGTTGACCATCTGTGTCTTGCTAATCTGTGGCCAACTCTTGTCACGTAACTTGTTCAGCAATCAAGTTATCATATGGCAACTGAAACAATTAATAGTCAAAATTCTGTTCATGAACCAATTTGTTTGAAAAGAGTCATTTGAAGAGAAAGTCATTCAAAATCCAAGATTTGACTATTTTAAAAATTCAATTTAACACTTGAAGTTTAAATCTAACCTAAAAATTGCCCTTTCTTACCTATGGTTTATTAATATAATTTATTTAATAAATAGCTTTCCTATGTTTTGAATTGCTCTGATTAAGTTATTTAAAAACTTAATGTAATTAGTGTTACATCAGTACTAGAATACTTCTAAATGGTAATGCTTAAAGTTAGAGTTCAGAAAGTTAGATTAATTCAGAAAGAAGAAGAAAATTGGTTAGTTTCAAAAGGATAATACTACAGTAGAGCGTCAATTTTCTGAAAGTCAATCATCCGAAAGAATTCCAGTCGTCAAATTTAAATTTTCGCCAGTGCTGTGGTGCTTCAATCTTTGGCTATGTCTTGGGCTACTCAAATATTTTACGTTTTTGATACTAAATTAACATCTGAAGTATAATTTTTTATTGTTTTTATATTTTTCAATATATTTATTTTGTTTGTACAAAATAAAAAAATAATTTTTAACGATACATTAGTCTTTGTTAGACTTAACATCGACAAAAATTCAACGCAAAGCGACATGCAACGGAGAAAAATTTCAGCATCGAATACGTTAAACTATTTTTTCGTACATAAATCGGTTATCTGAAATGTCAGTTATACAAACAACCCCAGTCCCCAATTGATTCGGAAAATCGACGCTCTACTGTATTTCAAATCAGTCTCTAAGCAAATAATTACTAAAAATAATAAAATATTTATCCATATAAAATTTATTTTCCTTATTTTATCATCATCTTTTAGATTATTCAAAATGTGAGAAATCACATCCACTAAATTATCAAAATTCTTTTTAAATGAAAAATGTTTTTTAAATGAAATCAGATTATTCTGTCATTAATAGTTTATTATAAATAAGGCAAAACAAAACTTCTTGTTTTATTTGCAGTGAATTTTAGTTGCAAGTTGTATTGATTGTTATTTCATATAGAAGTCCTTTCTCTAAACTGAACTGATTTCAAATAAAAAGTTTAAATAGTTTAGACATCCTCTCCATAAACACACTACTAGATAACCCCATCCCCCTCACCCTGATTATGGTTGCAGCCATAACCAAAAGATCACAAATCCTTTCTCCGTCCAACTACCAAGTAATAACAAATGATTTGATAATATAGAATATAATCATATGGCTGAAACAAATTAATAGCAAAAACTAAACATACATTCATCTAAATATATATTAAAGGCAATATTTGATATATTAAAACTTGCATACCATCTGAATCTTGTAATGTTTGACTATGAGACCATGTTTCCTTTTTTGTAAGAATTTCATTAAATTTCGTTGAATTTCTCCAAATATTTGAATGTTCCACCCAATTTTGAGATGATAAACTAGATGATGGAACAGATAAAGCTGAAATAGATATTTATATATTTATGAAATTATTTAGATAAACTTAGCAAATACAATAGATTGTAGATTTGTTGCCATATCCAAAAAACATTATAATACCTTTTAAATAAGATTTCATCGAAACAACTGATTCTTTGGAATCTTCTTCTTTTAAACTGACATTAGAATTCATAATATATGATGGAGATAAACCAGGTTCAGTTTTTATAGTGCTTGTTATATTGTCTTCAGAATTAAGCAATCCTGTATTTTTCAAACAGTTTTTATCTTTATGAGTACAATTTTCATTTTTGCATTGGGAAAGACACAAAGAAGAAAATGAATGACACCAAGTTTCAGTTTTATAAAGTGTATCATCACATTTTTCAGTTCGTTCTTGTTTTGTTTCAGTTGGAGGTAACCATGGCATATTACAGAAATCACTAGCTTCTTCCATTGAAGAAGAGTGAATGCAGTCAGTTTTTAACTTTGCTTTTTTTACACCACTTCCTTCTTCCCTTTCTTCCATACAAAACTCTTGTTTCTTTTCATTCTTTGTTTGTTGAATTTCTTCCTTTCCTATAGATGTAATAGAACCTTGTTTGCAGCTTTTCTTAGATTTTCTACCCTTTCTATTTGGCGGAAGTTTAGGTGTATCCTGAGAAAGAACCCATTGGCAATTCTGATTATCAGGACCATTTTCTTGTTGGGCATTTAATTTCAGTACCAACTGGCCTCCTACAAAAAATAAATAAAATTTTCTGTATATTAACTAATTTCAAGCACATTCACCAAAAAAATTTAGGAAATTAACAAATTATTTTTATTACAAAAAAATTTTTTTGACATAGGAGACCTAATCAGAAAGTCATACAAAAATTTTGTAATTATGAATATTTTAACAAACTTATAGGAAACTTATAGGAAATAAGGTTTTCATAAATAATTTAGTAAAGTAATTTTTACATATTAAATGAAAATCACTAGTTTATTTCCACAAACAAAAATATATTAATAATCCATTAACTAGTGAATTCATTTTAATCTGAATATTCAACTTATTTTAAAAAACTAAAATAAAAATTAAAAATTGTACCTTTTCATAAAGCAGAAGTTTAATTTTTAATTCATAAGAATTTTTGGAGATTTGTTGTTCTCCAATTTCACATGTGAATTATTTGCAAAAACTTTTTGATTCAAGCATTACGTGTCTTAATAACAATTTCAGTGCCATGACAAAAATTTACTGTTTAAATATTTGAACAGAAAATTTCTTGAAAATAACTTTCTTCTGAAGATGAAGGGGGAGTTCATGAATTAAAAGTCAGGACATCTGTTTTATGAAAAGATAGTACTATTTTGTTTCATTTTAGTTTTTATAAAATCTTTAAAACTTTATATAATTAGATGCAAGTTTCTTCTCAAATAAAAGATCTACATTTAAAAAATGTAGTGTAGTTAAGAATATAATATAATGAGTACAAGAAAAATATATTATANTACCCTAACTGTGTACCAAATTTCACCTCTTTAGGTTAAGCGGTTTGCTCTGGGCGATGATGAATCAGTGAATGAATGAGTGAGTCAGTCAGGACAAGCAATTTTATATATTTAGATTGAATCAGTTTTCATCATCTGATAAAGATGGGACCAAAATAGTTGATTAATATGAAAACTGAGTAGTATTTCAATATTTACATAAAAAAATTTAAATTCAGTAATAAAATGAAAGAACAAACTGCTAAATCTAAATCACTGAATATACTCTAATCAAAGAAATATTTCCAATCAGAATTTGATCACACAAGTTTATATGAAATTAATAAAAAGTCTAGTACACATTAAAATTTGTATAAAATAGAATGAAATAAAATTACATTTTATAGAACAAGAAATTTGGTGGTTTGAATTTATCAGTCTTTTCTCTCATTCTATATGCAAATATTTACTGAATATTTATTTAGAAAATCCACAATGTTTATGTACACTTAATTAAAGTAGTTAGTTTAGCATAATATATAAGATCCTAAGATTAAAAAATCTACATTCTATTAAATCATAAAATAAAAAAAATAAATGGAGTTAAAAAAAATCTTCAATTATGATATTGTCAGATTCTTTATAATTGTATTTTCTAGTCTGCAAAAAATTAGAAAAAAACAAAAACTAAACTAAACATAATAAAAACTTAAGTGTTCTTACCAAGGAAAAAACTTAAACTTCCAAGATTGAATGATGTGGATTCATTGTTAGGTTGGTTTAATTTTGAAGTTTTTTCATTTTGTGTTTCAGTATCATGATCAGATTTTGAATCAGTTTTTTCTAATTTGCAATCACAATCCTCAAGTTTGTCTACCTCATCATCATCATCATCATCCTCTTCATCTTCATTCTATTAACAGAAACAAAAATTTATTGAAGTATAGAAGTTTTATTTATGTTGTTGCACAAAATATATTATCTTAGAATCACGACTTTTCTAATGATAAAAATTTATCATTAGATATTATACTATGATCTGATTTTAGAATGATGCATTCAAAATTCATAAGACAAACTATGCTATTAGTTCATTTTTAAAACAAAGACAATAATTTGTTTCAATGATAAATTAGTGCATGAATAAGAGGAAAAACTTTTAAGACCATACTGTTTTAATGAGAATATTTCTGATAGTGGCCAAGATAAGATTCTGATGATAATAATTTAGATTATTTACCAGAATTTATTTAGAGAATCAAATAATTGATGAATTTTTACATCCAAAAAGTGGAAAAAATAATTAAAAAATTTGCTGATTATTCTGAAATTACAAACAGAACTGGAATTATCAGAATCTGTATATATGCAATGAAATCATTCTAGTGTATATATTGTATATAAATTTGGATAATTCCCGTGCTTAAATGTATTTCATTTTTAAATTTATATTGAAATATGATTTAATTTAAATTTAATAATTTTAAACTTGAAACACCAATAACAAACATGTGACACATTAAATCTGTTACAACTTGTTTGTGTCACTTCTTTGGTGTTGTAACTTGAGACCAAGAGCATCAAGTGATCATTTAAGAGTAAATCAATTTTATTTTGAAAATAAAAAATTAAATACTTTCACTGGTAAAATTTTAAAAATTTTTTTTACTTTACCCTTCCTATGATACTATCTTATTGGACTAGCTTTGCATAGTATGACAGATGTCTCCAATCATAATTTTAAAATTAATCAAATTTAATTTACCATAATATATTGTTTCTTATATTCTTAGAATCATATTTTTTAAAATTTATGTTTGTTTGGCTTTTAGATAGCACAGTAACCAGCTTAATTAGAATGCCTTAAATTATTTAACTGCAAGATGGTTATAATTATGTTAAAATAATTAGTTATAAAAAGTTTAATAATTTAGACATAAATTTAATACAAAAATAAATTTTAAAATATTAACCATCTTAACCTATTCTTAAAATATTTAAGATTAAATAAAACTGAAATAAGAAAATAATTCTCATATATAAATGAACAAGGATATTGCATATTCATAGTCTGAACAATTTTTGACAGTCAAACGTTTTAAATAAATTAAAAAAAATTTTTTTTTTAATGTAACCCCCTCCTTAACTCAATCTAATACAAATATAAAAATATATATTTTTATATTTTGGTACTCAGATATGAAATACAGTAGAACCCCAATTATCCAATCACCAATTAACTGAAGTTCCACATTATCCAAGGCAAAAAATCTAAGTAAATACACTACTACTCATATTGTAATCCATAAAAGTAAATTTAAAATAATAATAATAATAATAATATATATTACAAAATGATTTGTTTCTGTTACCTTTTATCATTTAACTTTATTATCGTAAGACAAACCATTCATATTAAAATGTAACTATAATAATACACACTTTTATTCTTAAAACTATTTTACATATTATCTATATAATAAATGATGTAAAATATTCTAACAATAAGTACTTAACTTTCCCCAGATGGTATGAGATTTTATTTAAGAAATAACTTTTATATTATTAATCATAATAAATGAAACTGTGTGTGGTATCAACTGTTATATTATTTTATTAAAATCTTTTTATATTATTAATTATTATAAATTGACAAAAAGCTTGATTTTGAAAGAAGTGATGACTTTTATAAAAAAAAACAATTGTAAATTGTAATATGGTTGAAATAATGCTGTGTTATTGAATTCCTCATGACAGAGGGTTGTGCATCCATTGATATTCATTGACAAATGAGTTCTGTCCATGGCAATACTGTATGGATGTGAGTATTGTCAGGAGGTGGGACAAAGTCTGAAAGATCCAGTTAACATTAAGTCCACATGATTAATGCTGCAGTAGCCATAACAGTCATAGTTGCATAGTATCAAACTCACATGGACAAACTTATTCATGCCAACTGTTATCAAGTAAAAATATATTACTGGAATGGTTAGGATTTTGCTTATGGACAGTGGTTAAGTTAGATCAGGTGGCACAAGTTTGTGTGGACAGGGATGGTAACTAGTGTAAAAATAATGCCACCACCTGGTAGAGGGCATTCTAAGCTTACAGCAGACACACAGTTCACATAAATACCTTGCATATTATTGAAATTCTTGTGTAGGAAGAACTTTTCAAAACAGCCTCAAAGTATTTATAAATTCAACAATTTATAAATACTTATATTTATAACAATAAAACAGTGATTTTTACTTTGCATACAGTACATACCTGTATACAGAAAATTAATAAAATTTAGGAATATTTATTGTACACATTAATTTTAATATGATGTAAAAAAATTTAAACTGCAAACATGATTTAACATGTACTGGTATTATATGGCATATAAGACACAGCTTTTGTTTGTAAAATGTCCATTGTCTTATATATGTAGTTGCAATCTCCCATAGGTTAACAAATTCCTGAAATGTCTTTAGTCTACAGATAATGTACACCAACTCTTGAATGAAAATGTTATTGTTTAATTAAACATATTATTATTATTATCTGGTATAGCTAAGTAGCTTTTGCATGAATTTATTTTGAATTTTGAACAGTAAAGTGTCAAAAATATGAATCCAGCTGTCGAAAAAAGGGATATTAACCCTCCTTTTAACAATAACTTTGTTGTTGATCTTCTTTCGACCTGTGTTCTTTCAGCTTATATTGTTGATATACTAACATTTAGTCAGAATTCATAATTTTAAAAATTTTTAAATTACAATTAGTATATTTTTTATTTAACTACAGTAATTCTGTAAATTATATTTTGAATCATTGTAAATATTCCTACATTCCTTGTGAAATATTGGCTTGAATTTAAACATCTAAACTTGATTCAAAATGCTTAAATTTGAAAGTCTGGCCTTTTAATATGGATTTGATGCTTCACTGTATTTTAATGATAAATTTTAATTGTAACTTACTTCTCTTTTTTCCCGGTAAATTATATAATGTACACTTTAAACTTTTTTAACAAGATTTCTAAGACTTATCAACTGATATTTTTTAAAAACTTTTACAGACATTAGATACCAAACTGACCAACAGATCCATTCATATATCCATAAAACATACAACAGTGATTAAAATTAGATTCATAAATGACAAAAATTATATACATTAGAAATTTAAAACTATCCTTTCATCCTTTCAAATTTAAAACTATCAAATTTATAATGTACTAACAATAAGCTGTTAAGTCTTTTACAAAAAATATCTTCACCAAATTCTGCATAGAAAGGCCAAGAAGCATTCTGTTTAGGAACTTTTGGTTAGTTTGTCAATAAATTTCCAGAATTGGACTTAGTATGATAAATCTGTAGTATAGGAAGTATTGATCTTGTACATAATAATTGTTAACAGATTAGAAGCAATAGCTTAAAAGTATATATTCTAATTTTACATTTTTTAACCAAAATACAGCAAAAACATTTAGGATTGAGTACCAGATATGGGATCATAGATAGGGTTACTTCATGCAGACTTACTCTTACACATTAAAAATTTAATAATAATAAATAAATAAATAAGATATGATGACATTCATTTGAATCAATCTATTTTCATACACCAAATTCATTTCAAACTAAATTATCACTATTGGCCAAATTTATATTCATCAGGAGGCCCAAATACTTTAACTCTTATTTCAGGGCTCCAATTCACTAGTCATATCATTTTTGCAAATAAAACTATTCATTTGACTAAAAATTGCACAGATATTTGTCAAATTATGAAAGTACCTCCTCAATTTTTATCAAGCTTGAAGCAACATTTTTTAGTGGCAATTCAAATGCCCGCCTACTGGTAGGCTATGCTGATGACCACTCCACACCCTTCTTCCCATTAGCCAAATATTGTTTGCATCTTATTAATAAGTAAACAATGTCATTNTAAAAATTTAATAATAATAAATAAATAAATAAGATATGATGACATTCATTTGAATCAATCTATTTTCATACACCAAATTCATTTCAAACTAAATTATCACTATTGGCCAAATTTATATTCATCAGGAGGCCCAAATACTTTAACTCTTATTTCAGGGCTCCAATTCACTAGTCATATCATTTTTGCAAATAAAACTATTCATTTGACTAAAACTTGCACAGATATTTGTCAAATTATGAAAGTACCTCCTCAATTTTTATCAAGCTTGAAGCAACATTTTTTAGTGGCAATTCAAATGCCCGCCTACTGGTAGGCTATGCTGATGACCACTCCACACCCTTCTTCCCATTAGCCAAATATTGTTTGCATCTTATTAATAAGTAAACAATGTCATTACATATTATAAGTTCTTTGTTACCGTGTTTCCCCGAAAATAAGACATCCGCAGAAAATAAGACCTAGCGCATTTTTCAGAGCAAAAATTAATATAAGACACTGTCCTTATTTTCGGGGAAACACGGTAGTAAATACTATACAGTAGATATGAATAACTAGCCTATCTACAGTGTTTGTTGTTAGGTAAGTACAAAATTGGTAGTTGAGCAAAATGAAAAGTTTAATGCCCATTCAATTACAAATATAACTGAAAAAAATGCAAAAATAAACTTAATGTTGTATTATAAAGGCTAATATATTTAGTAGCTTCTATTCTCAAGACTTTAGAGTACAAGAATGTGTCAAAGTAACATCATTTTGTCATACACATAATGAGTGTTAGATGCTACATGCAAGAACTTAGATCTGATTTAATGCATCTAAGTAGGCATATCTTATAAATAAATTACAGTTTAGAGAGGGTAGTGCAAAACATTTCCAATCTTAACATTTTCTACTTCAGCAAAAATTCAAAAAGTACATTCCATACAATTGTAAGTTCAAGAAATAATTAAACTTTTGACTATTCAAACATTAATTTGACAAAATTTTGCAAGTAATCTTCACTCAAAAGAATAATTATTTACTAAATTACAATTTTATTTGAAAACCGAAATGTTCAACTTTATGTCTTTATTTTTAAAAACATTTCTGACTTCCTTTGATTATTCTCCATTGCTTTAATTAAATCTCTATCTGCATGATAATACATGTGATAATAAACTTATTCAAAACTTAAACTTGTAAAAAGAAATTGTTTCAATCAATTATTGTTTTCCAATTTTGGGGGTGCTCTGATCACCATCACTGTTGGCATCAATTTTTCTTCACCTTCAAAGTTTGTGTAATTACTAATAGATGAAAACTGCTAGGTTATATTTTGACTAATAAATTCAGATAAAGATTACAAAATTAACATACTGAATTTAAAATATAATAAATTAACGCATTGTATTTCCTCAAAAAAACACTGGAATAAAGGTGCTGTTATAAGTAAAACCAATCTCAAATAAGTCCCAGGTTGAAAAGCATGGAAAACATGTTTAAGTATTGCATTATATACAGTAATATAGTTTAAAATGACATACAAGGAGTTTAACTAAAATTCCATCCCTTCAAATTGTCTAGAGTCAGACAGCATTTTCTATTCCAAGGTTCACACAAGCATTTCAAACTTTTTAGAAATAAAATTATAAATATTGAAGAGTACTGAGTGTGGGAAAGTTGCAATCAAGCTCATAAGTCAAGAACTTATCAAGCTGAAGGGTAATTAAGAAAAATCTGGTTCAAACTCATCATCTCTTTCCAAATAAAAAAACTTAATCCTACAATGAGATCAAAGCAAATCCAAAAAAACAATACAATAACCAAACTGAAAGACACTGAATCGAGTTAAGTATGAAAACTATAATTATTTCTGTAATAGAGGAAATTGACAGATGATGTCATGAAGTATAATAGTCAAAGGGGGCGTGTCATTTAGAATTGTACGGACAACGGACCATTGAACAGAAGCTTAGAGTATGATTTATTGTAAACGGTATGTTACTTAAAAATTAAATTTTATAAGTTATATTTAATCACCATATTTAATAATCTTATAGAAAATGTTTTTAAAATTTATTTAAAAAAAATTTTTTTAAATTTGGTATTGTTGTGAATAATTATAAAGTTTTAATCTAGAATAATATTTATTATAGTAATTTAGAAATACGACCATAGATAATCAGAAAAAGTTACTAAATACACTTGATATGAAAGTGCTAATGGAATGTGAATCCAAGCTGTGTACCTAAATGGTAATGAAAAACTAAAATATTAATTGTTATATTGGTAGTTTTACTCGCATAAGGTTTATTATAATATTTATATTTTGTAGTACTGAAGAGGGTTCTTTAATAGGACCGAAATGCATATACAGTGATTAAATAAAGAGAAGTAATTAGCTATCTGCTGTGTATTGGTCTACCGCTAAAACCTAAAATTTATATATTTTTAGTGCGGATTTACAGAGACTTTATAATATTTATTTCCAATATTGTAGCCGTTACCCATAAATACAGTTAATAAATGGTTGAATTTTAATGTATATAACACACAACAAAAACTTGTAAATCAGAAATGTGACTTTAGAATGAATTTCTACATCAACAAAAATAATTGTAGATGTTTAAATTTTACTAATATCAAATATTTTTTTACATATTATATAAACATTATAACAGTTTAGCTACACAATTAGTATGATAATCTATTTTTTTCCCCTTCTAATAAGCAACTTCTCTATTAAGCAAATAACTTTAAATAGCTAATACATAATTAATATATTTTATTGCAGTTATTTACAAAAGTACAAAAAAATAATAATAGTGATATATTCAATAATTACTAAACAAACAAAAATTATCTATTGTAAATAAAATCTTTTAAAAATAAGTTCTATGAATATATTAAAGCTAAAAAAATAGTTATTCATTACACACTAAAATCATTTAAAATTATTTAAAAAAAATTAAATATCTAAAGTTGAAAATTTTGTAATCATTATTTTAATTTTAAAATGAATGGTTTATCAAATCCAAGTAATTCTTTTAAAATACATTTTTGAAAGCTTTCATTTTCTGCATTAACGAGTAAGATAATATTCTTGAAAAAGGATCATGGGTTAAAATTATTTTAAGTATATTAAAAATAAAATATCATTCACAATTATTTATATTAATCTTGATTTTAAAATCTTAAGCATCTGAATCAATAATGTTGCTCGTAGAAACATTTATCAAACATCTAAGACAGTGAGAGATAAAATTTATTCATAAAAGAATTGTTATAGTACTAATTATTTTAATTTGACTTAAATTAATGCTATTAGATAAAAAATAATTGTAGAATATATGAGATTTAAATATAGAAGATATATTCAAAGTAAATAAAAATTTATTGATACCTTTAGATTATGTGCCTCAGATATGTTCTCCTTTCCTGTGATTAAATTTTCTGATAAATTTGCTATTTGCTGTGATTGTCGAGCAGACTGATTATCATACTTTTCTTCTTTTCCATTATAATAAAATTCAATAATGCTCCTCACAGGTTTCCATGGCAACTATATTAAATAAAACAATTTTATGTTCATACATATAACAGAAATTTATAATGTTATAACTGATGTCATGTTTTTCATTTTTAGCATATAAAAATATAATTCATAGATTTTGAATTAAATAAATAATGCTTTAATAGAAATGTTTTAACTATAAACGATATTCAATAGATACAGTTACTGTAATTTTGTGTGAATAAACCTTAGTGGCATATACAACACAGAAAATTACAAGAATAAAAATAAAACCTTCATATAGCCTGCCATATTGTATACTCTCTACCTCCAGGGTAGTCATTGAAAGCAAGATAATTACTGGTATGCAGTTTAGAAGTTGCCATTTCAAGCACTAAAATATTGCTTTTCCAATTTCATTTCTGCTAACAAATCATTGTAGATACACATAAACAACCAAGCCTAGACATTCTATAATAATTATATTAATTTCTGGATTATTCAGGCAGAATTGTGTTTAGGCCAGGGATGTCCAACCCATGGCCTGCAGCCCACTGCACCCTAGTACATTTAGGTACATTTTCATCTATTTTAATAAAGTATGTCATAAAAATTATTCTCATTTCACTGGATACACTTTGGGTAGTACTGTACATATTATTGTGAACAATCCTTTTTGTGCTTGAAAAACACTTAAACTGCTAAAAGAGATAGGTTTGAGTGATTCCCATTTAATGTGATCCTAGTTACAGTGTGAATCAACTTAAACCCATAATTGTAATTTAAAATTGGCATATAACCTGCCCCATCATATAACCCGCACCCACTTTCAAATCATCTTTCAAACACAGGTAACATGTGAGTTATCTGCATGCAATTGTGGTAAATGATTTAGAAAGTAAACATTTTTCTTTATGTTCAGATATTTAAATAATATATTCCCTTGGTAATGGGAGTGTAATCTGTATTTATTACAATAAATAAAGAACTGAGTTGAATAATATAATGATTCTATAGGAAATAACTATATATTAGCATTGCAACGAATAGTATATTCGGCCTCAGGCCAAATACTCGGCCAGGAGCGTGGCCAAATAGCCAAATATTCGGCTTGATTAACACACGTACGAAAATTGGTGCGCAAAGCGCATTATGGCAAGGACCTGCTCTCTATTGGCCCACTGTCACTACGCTTCGTCAATCACGTTAATTCTTGACAGTTGTAGCGGACAGACAAGAGCGTCATTACAGTACTGTATGTAATAAATTATATCAAATGTGGATAACAATAAAATGACCTACATGTGTAAATAACGGAAAAAGGAGAGAGAAGGACCGCAAAGTGAAAATAAATATGAAATTGAGTTGATAACATAATCGAACAAGTCGAGGCAGCTTATTGGCACGAAATTTGCAGTCGTCAATGTCAAACAATTGTTGTCATTGACTTCGGAAAGCTAAATGCTTGTAATGAAAGAAACTTAGCGTGCACGGGCAAAAGCCTGGGGCCATTCAGGCTACCGAGCTGTCTCGAATCTGTGAAATCATAACTGTGACTTATACCGTCATCCTATCTGTCTCTTTCCTCCGTTATCACCAGGCTATGAGTCACGTAATTGTAAAATTGAAAATCTACAATGGAAAAGTGACGAATCAAAAGTATCGTGAGCGCGAAATTATGATGTATGCATACGTGGGCTAGAGCAATAGAGGAAAGAGAAAGGGAAGAGCGCTTAAAAAGAAGGATAGGCTGAGTCAGACCCCAGATGTGCGACGATTCTTGAACGAGTAAGTGTGTACGTCTGCTGATCTTTGTAATTATAAATTGTGAATACATGTGACTAATATTACTGTATTTTCTTTTTTATTTTGTGCATTTATAAGTTATAAATAAATATAAACAAACAACACTAACCTGATAATATTAAATATAAATACCAAAATGATTAATTTACTGTGTTTTTGTTATTTCTTACTCCTGTTTTTAGGTATTCGGCCAAATAGTAAAAAATAGGCCGAATACCGAATAGTAACCGAATATTCGTTACATCACTACTATATATATATATATATATATATATACATACACACAAAAGAAAAAAAATTTCACTTGAGAAAGAGACACAGAAATTTAAAAACATTATTATTAATATATAATAATAACCAAAGTTTTATGGCTTTCATTTGTTGTTTTTCTTTCTCAACAGATAGTGAATATTACAATGAAGTACCTCCTGATTATTTTCTATTATGTTGTTTTTATTAATATTAATGTTATTAATTTTATTATTTTAACATCCAAAATTAGATTGTTGAACAAATAGCACTACTTCATATCATTCAAGAAACCGAACAAATATAAATATCTCTATTATTCAGAAAAAAGATAGCAAGGAAACTTTTTCAAGGCTACAGAATTTTTCGTATGGTTTCATATCTGGGATTCAAATGGAAGGAGCATCTACACTGTCATGGTCCCAGTTGAGTCAGTCTGACAAACAAGTGGCATTATATGGGAACATAATAAATAATAGCTTGTTAATATATTATGACACCGTTGCAATGCCAGGCTGTAATTTTTAATCATATTTTTAATTTATTTAGTTTAATATATATGCTCTCAACCTCAAATTATAGTAGTAGATTGCCCCTGTACATCATACATTTCCTTTAACAGTAGAGTCAAGCTAGTCAACTGCTTACAGGGAAAAAGTTTTGAATTAGAATAACGTGACTTCTGGTTTATTGGACAGAAGTTCATATATAGTTAATCAAGGCCTCCTGCCCATAAAGTTTCCATATCTGGTCTCAGATTTCATCTATCTATCTAACTCCATCTTGAGATTAATTAAATACATTTCAATCTTTTCCCCATATTATGGTAACATATTAACAAAGGAGTTCTGACTAACCTGACTGGGATAAAAGGTAACATCTTTAACTATATTGTTTCTGACAAGCATGATGAAAACTATCTAGTAATAAGATAATTCTTAAATTAAGATACCATAAATCTAAACCTTTAAGTAATTAATAAAATTTCTTTTTTGATGTAGCATTTGTTCCATCATTTACAATTATTCCAAAATTGAAATTAAAAATTTTTTGAACATATATAATAAAAACAATCGTTTCTATTATAAAAATGATATTTGAAATAATTTTAAAACAATTTCAGTTCAGTTTCTAGAAACATTCATTTATTTTTACATCAATTTTCAATAATGAAAATCATACAAATATCAACTTCTAAAACCCAATAGTTATGTATTAAAGACAAATGATGCTACATTATATTGGATTATATCACTAGCATTTAATTATCAATAGTAGTAGTGATATAGCCTGATATAATCCAGTAATCATTTGGCTTTAATAATGAAAATCATATTAATTAAAAAAAAATAAAAATTGAATTACTACTATTAGTGTGTTATATTCTCATATTTTATTTAAAATAAATGACATTTTTAAAAATTTACACCATTTCCAATATATTAAAATATTTAAAAACTAATATATTCCATAATTATTTAATTTAAACAGGAAACAATTTTATGAAAAAAATTATATGAATAAATAGAATTTCTGATATATTCTCTCTCTTTTTAATTAATGAAAAAATTCTTTGATTATAAATTTAACTTCTCACAATGTAAAAATAATTTTTCATTATAGTTTTTGTATTTTCTGATGCAATTTAAAATAACTTTTTTAAAAGAATAAATATATAAATTTTTTCATTTTTCATGACAGTTGATAACATGAATTTATTACAAAGAACAGTAATATATAAACCATATCATTATTTTCTAATACAGTCAAACCTATCTGTAATGAAACCTGTATATAGCAAAAACCTGTCATTAATGGAAAATTTCTTCATCCCTTAAATTTTTTGCAAAACGTAATGTAAATTAACCTGTATCTAGTGAAATCTGTCCAACACAGAAACAGAAAGGAAAATCAGGCCATATATCAGAAAAATTGGTATCTTTATCCAACTTAATACAAATTTAACAAGTAGTTTACTAGCCTACACACCTACATGTATTATAATCATTAAAAAAGGTAAAAAATACACATGCCCAATTTTATTGAGATTTGAATGGAAAGTTTGTATGTATTGTTTTTAACAGCTGTTTTTACTAATAATTACATCATGCATTTATGTTAAGTTGTGAAATTTAATAAATTCTTCCTGATGTGAGATTGTATTCTTTGTTTTGAAACTAAATTTAAACTTTTTTATATCACATTTGATTTGAATAAAATCAAGTCAAAGTGTCTGCAGATAAAATGCACAATGGGCATAGTATGCATGTTTTTTAAGTTTTGTAAAGGATATCACGCTATACAAACAGTACAAAATATTTGTACTGTCTATGAGGAAGATGCTTCTAAATTCTGAAATGTGTCAAGTGTGGTTTTGAAAGTTTCATTTGGAAAATTTTGAACTAAAGGATACAAAACGTATGGGTCCCCAAAAGCTGTTGAAGAGAAATCGCAGAAAGAAATTGTTAAAGATTGATGAATAACAACTCATGAATTTGCAATAAATCTTAGTGTGTCACAGACACATTGTTGAAACACTTCATCCACTTGTAATGGTTGTAAAACATGCTGATGATTGTGTTCCATATGCAGTTTGTTTTTTTTCACTTAGGAAAAAATGAACTGAAATGAGTATAATCTGAAGGTAGGCAGCTGTAAGATTTTATTTTTAAATTGGTTACTCATTTTTATCTTAAAAAACTTTTTTACAGATGAACAAAAACATTAAAGTTAAAATAAAAATATTTGTTATTAACCAAAAGTTTGTTCTAGCAGTTGGTGATTTTTGGTTGAGTACCAAGGTACCACTGTATTTGATTAATGTGATTTTGATATACACGGTAACATCAAGAAATTTATTAATCGCATTAATCAAGGGATATCTATAGTACATAACCTATATACAGCAGAAACCTGTCTACTACAGAAGAGTTGTTTAAGTCCCTTGGGGTTTCCATTATAGACAGGTTTAACTGTACATCATAATTATGCTTAATTTAATAACAAAATGCTAAATAAAGATTTATTTTTTTAAAATACCAATTATAATAATTTCCAAAAATTTCAAAATATAAGAATGCCATCTGTAAAAATTTTAAACCATTGTAATACACCTATCTTGTAACAAAATTATAGGAACAGCTAACTTTTGTAACTTTCTGAAAATAGGCGGTATTTATATAATATTTATAATCATATTACATAGAAAATAATAAAGTACATTATACTGTAAGACAAAATAATTTATAGATTGATACATTATGTACAAAAAAACTCTTAAAATCAAAAATTTGAAAAAGATTGTAAGTAGGTTCCTGTAAACATGTACAAAGCTAATTTCTCAAAAAGAAAAAAAAAAACAACAATTTATTGTCCACCTTTGGTTTCAATGAATTAAAACATTGTACATGTATAGAAATTGCAAGATTTTCTAACAAAGCTTGTCTTAAGAATAGTTCTCCAGTTGTATTATGCTGTTATTTCCTGCTTATACATTTTGGGTTGAATACCCGATATATCTTCTATTGGATTTGAATTTCAGGTCTTTGAAATTCACATCAAATTGTGACTCTCTGGAAGTATAAAATTTCTTTTTTTCCCCACTTCATTTTATCTTGAGATAATTTTTACCTTTTTAAATTCTATTTAATACCAATTTTTTTGTGAGTTTTAAAACAATTTTTATTTGTTATAATAATGATTTAACTATACAAAACAAATATTTTATGAATCTCCTGCTAATTTACCTCAGTTTCTCAAGGCATTTCAACTTCATGTGCATCCAGACTTTTCACCTGATCTATTATTTTATCACTGCATAATGATTCTATACATTTATGCAAACTTCTCTTTCCCTATCAGCATAATAAACTTTACACAGCTGTTCATATGAATTTTATTACAATAATTCCTATATTGGTTTTAAAATTGTTGTTGTATTGTTTTGTTAATTCTTTCCAACTAAACAATAGCATACTGATAAGTTAAGAACACTGTATTTTGATCTAAAATTATTAATTTGCATATAATAAATCATTTTTACTGTTTCTTTTATTAATGAAAGGTTATGATCATCAATTAACAATCGTCCCTATAATTCCGTTACAGGGTGTTTGTATTTTTAAATATATATAAAATATTAAATTAAACTATTACTCCAAAATTTAAAAACACTTTCAATACAACATACTAAAATAAGAGTAACTGTCAATGTAAAATATATCAATTTATAATTTTTTCACAAGAGCATTTAAAATCATCATTTCTATCGTATTTCTATCATATTTCATTTTAATGTTTTATTTAAGAATTTCATATTTTAGTATAGTGGTAAGAATTTTTAGTATAATCATAAAAAACATTCGCACAGACAATTATTTAAAAAAAAAAAAAACAGAGAGAGAAGACTGTAGAAACGAAAGTCCTGAAGATTTCAAAGAATTGCATACAAAAAAGCAATTACTTACTTTGAAGATCTTTGCTCCTTGTAAGAAATGGAAACTTTTATTCACAAGAGAAAATTAAAATTTCAATCACTAATACATAAATGTATATTGTATAGTCTTTTCTTTAACTTATTAAGTAGTTTTTATTTTTCCATGCAATAATTATTAATTATAAAAAAAGGGACAGAACAAGTGACATCAGAAATATTTTTAAATAACTAATCAATAACTGACACTTACAAACTCTTTCTTGATTGCACCAAAATTCTTTCCACATGCTTCTAGAGCTCGAGCAAATAGCTGGGCTTCTGTTGGCGTCCAACCATTTTTTATACTGTGTTTACAATTATGATCTCCACAACATGAAGGGCTTGGAACTTGACATCCTGCATCATGGTGACATGGATGATGAGAGGTTACAAAATCAGACTAAAAAGTAAATTTGAAGATTATTTTTAAAAAATTGATAAAATGCTTAAAAAATATTTTGATAACAAAATATCAATAAAAATACAGCGTAAATTAAATATGTAAAAATATGTATTAAAATTACATAGAATGATTAACTCTATCCAATATTGGCCATGCATTACCATCAGACAATTATTATACATAGAGCTTCAATCTATTAATTTTTACAGCATTAATTTTAAAATAATCTGCATAACATCTTAAAATGTAAATTCAATTAAATAATTTTTATACTTTCAAAAACCTGGCAGTCTTACACATCAATTTAATTAACAACTTTTTATAATTTTATGCTTTTACAAATGCACATGCAAACCTCTAGGTAATCCTACAAATAAGGGACCCAAACAGTGTCACGTAAAAAAGTTTAAATGCTTTAATAATTCAGAAAGAAATCTTTAACAGTACTCCTGTGTGTTTTAAGACTTAAATGTAGCAAAAGTAGGATTTTCTGAAGAAAAATTAGAATAAGTAAAACAAATTTAAAAATAGCCAAAAATCATCACTTAAAAAAATGTTATATAAAATATAACAAAAGCAGTCTACAGTATATTTATTTGATAAAATATCTTCTCATTAACAAGGAAAAGAAAATTAGAGTAAACTCAGTATATACAGTGGAACCCTAATTATCCAGGCAAACCTTTAAGTCCTATTATGTACTATTTTTTATTAACAGTAAAGCTTTTTTCGTTTAATTGTACAGGTAGCCCTCGGTTTATGCTGGTTCAATTTACGCCGATTCACAATAATGCCGCTGTGCATTTCGCTGCTTTGCTGTGTAATTCCGCGATTTCCCTATACTAGATTTGACTAGATTTTGTCTAGATTTGACCAATCCTAGCGAGACACGAGTCCACTACGACACTATGTGTCATGGCAGAATCATGGCTTGTTGGGATTGGTCAGATCTAGACCAATAGAGAACGTTCCACAAACTGTTAGATTTGAATGTGCTGCGGAACCAATATAGAGAAAAATGAAGAAGAAAAAACTCCAAGAATTATGAAAACGGCCAATCTAAAGCGCATCCTTTCAACTATGGAAAGTTTGACAGATGAACTTTGTGAGTTAGACAATGATTGGGAGCGAAGTGCAAATGTAAAAAAGAGCATCATTGCATCCATTCAATCATATTCCAAAAGTCTTAATGAAAAAAAAAAAAAATGTAAACAATTAAAGATGAATATTTTTTCTGAAAAATGTAAAGGATCCAAAACTAAAATTTTTTAATAAAAACATTTCACTTTATTTTATGATAAAATACATTTTAAAAATTAAATTTATATGTATTTTGTATTATATTGTATTAATAAGCAAAATTATTTGCTTATTTTTCACTTATGTAGAACCTAACACTATACCTCACTGTAAATAAGGGTTCATTTTATGCCAATTCGATTTGCACCGCTTTAGTAGGAATGGAACTGCAGCATAAACTGAGGGCTACATGTACTGAGTGCATAAATACTTTACTTAGTAGTTTTAATCTCAACTGTAAATCGAGCAACTGATGCTGAGATGACTGCAGAACACTGTAAATAAAAGTTTCTTAAACTTTTTTTACAATATTTAAGAAAACAAAAACTTTAAAGAAGTTTAAGAACATAACATTTAATTCAAATGATTCATTTCTGTTACTTTTTATCATTTAACTTCATAGTGAGATAAATCATTCATATTAAAATGTAACTATAATAATATATCATACATTTTTCTTCTTAACTTATGCATGTATAGCTATAAAATATATGACAAAAAATTGTTCTTATATGATTAAATTCATTAAGGTATAAAAAAAGAGGCTTAAAAGTGACACCATATAAATCTTTTTCTTTTGTAATTTTTACTCCAAAAAGTGGTCATGGCAATCTGCTTTACCTATTTTTCAGTTAACAAAAATATAGTATTATTAATATAACAGCCTTAATTAATCTGTCTGTCTGTCTATGTGTGTATGTATGTATTCCTTATAACTCTTGCTAATTTTGTCCAATCCAGATAAAATTTTGCTTCGATGCTCTTTGTGTTTTGATGGAGAGTATTGGCTACTTAATGTAAGGATATATTAAATATATAAATTAAATTTTAAATATAAAAAAAAAAATTTATGTTCTGTCACAAGAAGATGCAATCAGTTTCAGCTCAGTGATGGCACTTACCTTAATAATAACCACATTTTGTTGCTTCTATGACAATTATAAAAAAAATTTTCAATTGACAATTTTTAATAATAGTGTCATTGAAAATTGAAAAAATTTTCAATTTTCAATGACACTATTATTGATGTTCTTCTTTCTCATAGAAAATAGTCTGTCATACTTGATGGGAATTTTTCTAGTTAGTTCATATTATCTCAGATAATTGATCTTCTATTTTGCTTCAGATTTATTTATTTTTTTAAATGTGAAAATTTTCTACCAGAAAGATTGTCATGTATTACTAGTACAATGATCCTGGATAGGTTATAGTTTTCATCTTTTAACATTTACATTAATAGATATGTGAAAACAATTTTTTAAAATACAAAATATCATGAAAAACATTGATGGGATGTGCAAAGACACCATCAGATAGTCTTGGTCTCAGAGCATCATGGCACACCAATGATAGACTTGGTCTGGTTTAGATGGTTATCTAACAATCTCAGCCACGATAATGTTGACAGAACTGCATCAAACTGCTGGCTGACTCATAGATGTCTCTTTGAAGAAATATATTGAACGAAACCTTCCAAGACCAAGTCAGTAATATAAAAAATATATAGAAAGCACATTTTAAAAGATAACACTTGTAGAAAATGCCACATCATGCACAAAACTATACATGATATCAGCTTGCAAACTTTTATCACGAACTGACTATTTACATTTCACGAATTGGCATAACAAAATAGAAAACATAATATATCAAAAGTTGGCACACAAGCAAAAATTATTGCACGTCCAGAAACCATATTATAAATACACACCTCAAATGATCAAAGAAAATAACACACAAAATATACTACTTATCAAGCTATAAATCACAGATAAAACAATCCATTACAACCGACTAGATATCATTGACAAACAAAACAAAATCACATACACCATAGATGTAGCTGTATCAAACACTCACAACATACAAAATGCAAACAGTGAACAAACTGGTAAATACTCAGATCTTGTCTACAAAATTAAGTATCTGTGGAGAATGGATAAAATATTTATTGTACCATTAGTCCTTTCTTGCACAGGTATCATACCACATACACTACATAAAAGTCTAGTCAAAATTCTAGAAAGACTTTACAACAGCACATACATACTAAATATACTCACACAGTCAGGAAATTATTAAATACAAATACAGTAAAACCTGTCTATGGCGACCACCCACGGTTCCTTCAAAAAGTGGTCTTTTAGACAGGTGGTCATCCAATACAGGTGGTGCTGTAATACCGTATTTCCGTACGTATTTTGTGCACTTTTCAGCCATTTCTACTAAGCAAAACTCGAGATGAGCAAAAATAAGCAAATTTTTTCAACGATAGGGCTATATTGGTATTGTATTTTATTCTTATCGGATAACCTGATTTATAGGAGTCGTCATGATATTATAAGACAGATTTAACACCAATATTTTATAGATTAATACAATAGTTGCATTTTCTCGATTATAATGCATACTTTCTTTTTTCCGACTTAATTAATTTGACTTGGTTCTTTTCATTCACTCCTCAGTTACGTGTATTACGTCATCAATATACAAGCGTGTCCTATCTCTCCATCACTTTGCTTTTGGTTTTCGTTAGTTTAATCTTATTTTAACTTTAAAAATACTCTATTTTTTTAATATTTCATATTTTCTTAATTAATAATTTTTCTTATTGTACTTAATTAATTAATAATAAAACAATTTTATTATTTTTTCTCATTATACGATTTCATTACAATTGCGGAATCGAAAAAGGAAGTAAAACTGATTTTTGCATTAATGCGTTTATTGTTTTTTGAATATTTTGCCTGCGAAAATTACTTGGATATTATTTTTCTAAAAATATCATGGAAATAAGATAGGTTAATACAGAAACTATTTATCGCACGTGTACTGCATACAAGCTTCAAAATAAATAAATAAAAATAGATTTTATCAAACGATGAGATCAGCCGATTAATTGTATCATGTACAATATTTTACACCTCCAAGGAAAATACTGTAAGTCTAGGGTAAAATAAATTTTGTTTTCCCACAGTTAAACTTCTCTGCTAATTGCTGTTGTGATAACTTTAGTATGATCTTTTAACGACAGCACTTTGCATTTTGGACATTTTCCAACAAACTGAAATGAATTTCCTTTGTTGCTAGACTAATTTATTAACACCTGCACCTAATTTCAAGGGTGGGAGAACTGCCCGGGATGTGTTCAAACAAGAGTTTAGACTAATTCATTATATTAGGAGGTGGAAACGTTGTTGAGATAGGTTTTTACAATAGTTTAGACCAGATACATTCACGAAAGTGGTCACTTATTGCAGTTGTTGTATGTTGTTTCGGACCAAAAATCGATGCCCGTGGTGGCATTACACAGGTGGTCGTTTAATACGGGTAATTTATACGAAGACTCTATGGATAAACTATTCCGTGCCAGAAATTTTTGCCCATTTTGACAGGTGCCCGCCGAATACAGGTGGTCGCCTAAGCAGTTTTCACTGTATATACATACACTAAACATTTTTTTTTCTGTAGTTAGTGCTATGCCAGACCAAAATCTTAAGGAAAAAGTAAGATAAACTCCATCTCAACACAACAATAATAATGTAATGGAAATATTAAAATCAGAATGAGCTGTATTAAATTTATGTAATATATTTATTCTATCAAGTATGTGAATGTGTAAAGTAAGACATTAGCAGAAATTATAATTATGGGTCTTTCCATATTTTCAACAAATGACAAAGTACTAATAATTAAAATACATAAGCTAACTTACCAAACCTCTTAGTGCTGTTTGTAAAGTTTTATCAGGTCCATTTCCTGTATTTTGACATGTATCAATAGCCTTTGCAAACAAACTAACAGCCCTGCTGAAAATAATAATAATATATAACAAAAGAATTATTTTCTTGAAATTCAAAATTATCATAATTGACTGGATGACAGTCATGAAATTACATAAATAGAAACAATTATTAATATTTCAACTTTAAATTGTTCATCTGATTCAAAATTTGAAATCAGATAAGCAATTATCAGAGCAAATAATAAAAGTAAATTTAAGGACAGCAGATTACACAAATTAATTGCACAAAACAATCAAAATAAATTAATATGAATCTATATTAAAATATTAGATATAACAAAAACATGTTTATCTTTGAAAAAAAAAATTTATTTTCTAACTCACCTTGCCATGGAGAGATACTGATCTATTTGTTGATCAGAGAGATCATTATCAGGTTTCCATTTTAATGTCTCCAAATCTTCACAACATCTACCATCAGTTTCACCTGCAAAATTTAGTAATAAATATAAATTTTAATTATAAACTTGAACTAAGAACAAATATTAAAACTAAGAATTTAACTACTTATAGAGATGGATATGCCTGTTAAGACTGACAACTTATATGATAGTTAGTACAGTAAAATAAAAATGAAATAACTACTAATGAGTAAGTATAATAATTTATTAAAGAAAAATTTAGTGTATCTCACAAAACTTCTTTTAAAAACAATATCTTATATTTTGTAAATAGAAATATTACAAATGTATTTAAAGTTATATTTTTTAAAAACTACACAAGTTACGCAAGTTAAGATGATTAAAATACGAATTATCATACAATGCAAAAGGATTCTAATAATAGAGTATGTGACAGTACTATCAGTCACACAACTAATCAAAAATCACTAAAACTGTTGATAATTCAATCAAATTTTTCACATTCAATTTTTAGAATTTTCTGCACATCTAGATTTCACGAGATTTAACTTGAACCATATTGTTGAATATGATATATGAGACATTATATATAAACTAAACTATTTTGCTATTTTTAAATATATAGATAGCAATTGTAGACTAAATTTTAAAAATTTTAACCTTTATTGCAATACAATATGGATTTAATCTAAATAATTAAATCCTATTTACCATCATAAATTTAAAAATTAATCAAAGTTAAAAGGATTTAAAAACTTCTTCAAAATTAAATATTATTATTCAAAACAGTACTGAAGCAAGTAAACTTTTTTTTATACCCTGAAATTGCAAATAGAAAAAAAAATTCTTTAAAATTCCGTTTTTAAAAAGTGAGTAGGTTTAAAAAAGAAATTTCAGTAAGTAAGAAAGACAAATTTGTAATACTTTATAAAAATATGAACACAAACAATTAAAAAAAGAAGAAATATATATATTTAATAATATAAGAATTATAGTCTTCAGGGAATGTGAATATATGTTGGGAGTATTTAATTTAGTAAGCAAAAACCAGAAAGAACTTGAGGGGGCTGTCGTCAATTGGCACCAGAGTTAAAAAGACAAAAGGTGTATGTTAAGCAGAGCTAAGTCTCCTTATATTCTTTTTTTTTTCAATAACTTATAAGTAAAGGTTGTTAGATTAAAACTGAAAGTATCTTTACTTGGGTGAAACACGGAATAACATTAACAATATATTTATGCAAAGTAGCAAAAATCAAAAATAATTTTTTTTATAGATGTATTATAATGGTAATTTTCCTATTTTTTTTTTAAATGTAATATCATTGTAAAACAACTTATAACCTGAAAAGCATCTACTTTAAACTGAAGAGGGATGTAACTGTCCAAAATGCATATTTAATAAAGTAGAACAGCAAAAAAGTCTCAAAAGTGTCTAAATGTGTCCTAGAAGGTGTGATAAATTCTCAGATTAGAAGCCGATATAGAAGTTTAATAACCATTAATATTCAAAAGAAGGATAAGAAGAAAATGTCTATCAGAATAAAACTAGTATAATAATCTAGCTTTTAATTTATTCTTAAATTCAGTAATAGTTTTATCAGAATTTGCATCTATCATAACAAAGGTTTTCATATAAATTCAAAAATCATCATCATCATCATAATCAATAATAATCAAATTTATGGATATAAAAAAATTCATTTTTGATTTTTGAAAAAGTCAAATTATATTTATTTAGTCAATTTAGACAAGAAATAGTTTTAAAATAACTTTATGACAATAGAAGAGTTTTACTTAGATATAAGTAAAACTACTTCAAGAGAGTATTAGTAATGCAAGTAAAACAGGGAGACTTATTTTAAATTTATTAAATTTAAAAAAAAAATCAACTAGAAATGTCTTTAGAATGAAACATGATTCACATTGCATTAAAGAAATATAATATTCATACTATCTTATTCAAACTTAATGTCCAAAATTATTGAAAAACTAATAAAATGTTTATGTTAAAATATTAAAAAGTCAAATAGTTATTACAAAAATCTATATTTGATAGTTTTGATAGTAGGTATTTTATGATGTTGCCTGAGTAGATATACTCAGCTATCTCAGAGTTCAACAATATCAAGAATTAATATGCTAATAAATATCAATAAGAAATATATTACATTAAAGCTCAAAAGTAAAAATAAATTTATAAGAATTAATTTAATGGACAGAAGCATTCGCTACAAGCAAATATTAAAATTTGTCCAAAAATAGAAATTTAATTGTTATATGGTAAATCAGCAATATACATTTGAGTGCAGATAAGCTTTATTTAACTCAAGCATTAGTTTTTATTATAGAATTTTTTTAAAATATAGTATATATACCTAAATTAATGTATTTTAAAACTTTACTGTATTAAACAAAATGTTCAAAAATTAAAATAAAAAACAACACTAATCTGGGAGAATAATTTCTGAAAAATGTTAACAAAAATTAAAAAGGAAATTATTCATTTGAAAGGAAATTTGATAAAATAAAAACTACCAGTTTTCTTCGAATAATAACTGCATTTTGTCTATTAAGTGCAGTTATAAATACACATATAATACTTTTTAAAATGCAGTTTAAAATAGTAGTCATAGCTATTATTTGAATGAAACCAATAAATCTAATATCATTTCTGATTTTTAATAGCTCTTTGTAATTTAATTACTTGAACAAAAGTCAGTTTCATTTAATCCTAAATTCAAATTTAAAAAATTTTTAAAATCTAAATTCAAGTTGAATAAATATTAGAATCAATTAACTCAATAGATTAAAAATTAGCAAAATTGTCACTTACTAGTCAAGCAAGCATTTTCATTCACTCTCAATTGGACATCTTAGGGGTACAGATCAAATTATAACTGCATGATTTTTGAATGATCTGATGGTGTGGTATGTGTAATCAACACACACACACACATCTTATTTTTCAAAAATCATGTGGTTATAATTTAATCTGGAGCCCTAAGATGTCCAATTGAGAGTGAATGAAAATGTTTGCTTGACTAGTAAGTGACAATTTTGCTAATTTTTAAGCTATTGAGTTAGTTGGTTTTTTACATATTAACCAGCATTCAGCAGTCATCTATTACAATATTAGAATAGTGTAAATATATTTGGACATTAATTTCAGCAGCTCTATTAATCAAACATTGTGGTGTATCCAGTAAAATACTCAATAAAATTTATTGATTAACTAGATAGTATTTATTAATTATAAATGAATTTTAACACAAAAGCCAATATAGGAAAAAATATTTCTAAATTGCATTTAAATTACTCAATCATCAATTCATTAAAAATATTTCTAAGATTTTTATAATAAGCACTTTATTTTTATGAATTACAGTGGAACCTGGTTAACTTGAATTATTTGAAGGAAGGAAAAAATTCGAACTTAGAGTTAAAAGTTTCATTATGAAGATTTGACTAAAAATCAAGATTTCGTGCATTGGATCATCGTAACCTGTAATAAACTATTCATATGATATTTCCCTAGGTCTTATTACATAGAATTGCTGTGTCAATGTAAACCTATTAGTGTTGTCCAAAAACTCAAAAATGCTTAACTGAATGGGTACTGAATAATGCTTAATGCTTAACTGCTTAAACTAAATGCTTAACTGAATAAGCTACTGAGAAATGTTTTCCTGAATGGTTGATCTATTCACTCCTAAGTATTTAGTAAGGATTTTTTTTAACTGTGATATTTTGTGCCTAGAATCAGTCTGTTGTTTTTTATTTTTTATCACAAAAAAACCACTCTCTACAATTGTTATATTTTTAGAATTTTTCTGCAAAGGCTAAAATTTTACAGAGAATCAGACTATAATTGTTTTTTTAAATTAATTTATCAAAAATCTATATTTATTATGTTAGTTAGTCAGATAAATCCATCAGCAATCAAATAAAATGAAAAAAAGTTCAGAAAACAAGTAGGTTTGAATGGCGGTTACAGTATCTAGATCACATGCTATCTGGAAGCGAATACCCCACCCATCATCACACGATACAATGTTTATTTTTAGTCAAACATATTTCCTGCACTTTGTAGAAAGTTTCTGATTAGTTTATTTGATAGATAAACATTAATTATTTTATTGAATGAAAAATTAAAATTCCAGAGTATTTATGAAAATATTGTATAAAAACTCATTCAAGTTAACTTGAAGTCAAATTGATTAATATGTAAATACCTAAGCTGCACAATCAGAAAAAGGAAAAAAAGAAACTTTGAGTGAACATGACTTCAAGTTATCACAGTTTGAGTTAGAGTTAATTTTACATACAGGGAAACCTGGTTAATCTAGAAATAGAAAGATCTTACAAGGGAACTGTCGGAGTGTCTTCTAATAAATTTTAATAAAATTTAGTTAATAACTACGTTAAAAGTATACAAACTCTATTTTAAATTTGTAGCATTCACTAAAAGTGTTGATCAGAGTTATTAGCAATCAAATGTTGCACTACTGTATAGTAGTTTAGCACAATTACGCAAATTTTTAGAAGTGAAAGGGTCGCGGAGGAAGACGGCGATATTACATTTAAAATAAATTCTGGAATTTTCAAAAATGGTTGAAGAATTAATAAAATTTTGTATACTTTTAACATGATTATTAACTAAATTTTATTAATTCTTCTCCCATTTTTGAAAATTCCAGAATTTATTCTAAATGTAATATCGCCGTCTT